CTTGTTTTCCAAATATATTAAAGGGCTTGCGCTCCATGATGGACTTCTACGCGCGAGATTCCATGAGCTAGCCCCCGAGAACGAAGCTCTCAAAGATGAAGCTTCAAATTTTGCGATTTTGAGTTTGGTCCCAGAAAATCGCAGAGGGTCGCTAGCTTTCCGAAAAAAAATCGTAAAAATTACTTGGACAATAGAAGTCCATACCTTATTTTGGCAGGCTCTGATCTCGCATGGAAATGCGAAAACAAAAAATTTGTGGTGTCATTTTACAGGATAGATCCCCTTATCGCTGTAATTTATCCACAGAAACACAGTTTGCAATCAGAATTAAGACATAGGCCCTATTTAGAACCGTGCGACGTTTTTTAGAGTGTAAAAAAGTGTTTTCGCAGAAAAACTGCAGTAATGAGGTTTTTTTTTTCGCAAAATGACATATTTCAGGATTTTTTTGTTCTCGCATTTCCATGCGAGATCAGAGCCTGCTATAATAGGGTATGGACTTCTACTGTCTAAATGATTTTTACAGATTTTTTTCGGAGAGCTAGCGACCCTCTGCGATTTTCTGGGACCAAACTCAAAATCGCAAAATTTGAAGTCTCATCTTTGAGAGCTTCGTTCTCGGGGGCTAGCTCATGCAATCTCGCGCATAGAAGTCCATCATGGAGCGCAAGCCCTCTAATATTTTAAGAAAACAAGATTGTGGATTTAGGTTTAGTCATTGGGAAGTTAATGAATTTTGTTTGAATTACGCAAGTACTTTCGAGCCAACCTAATATTTTCTCAAAATTCGCACTTTTTTGCTTTGTGTGCAATCTACCAGCACATCATTTGTGCTGGTATTTTTTCCACTCCCGTTTTCTGTTCTTCAATTAAGATGGTCCTGTGCTAAAATTACTCTTGATTCTGTGCAGTCGACGAAGCAAATTCTATCTTCTCCCACTCTTATTGATGTACTAGCTGGCTTACCCGGCTCCGCCGTATGTTCCGAATAGAAAATTCCATTTCTTAACCGATCCGGACCAAACTTGGCACACATACACTTCGGGCCCCGGCGGGTGTCATAGGCTACTTTTCGTCATCGATCGATGTCGATTTTATCGATTTTTTGCAAAATTTGAGCTAGGGGGCTGGAATTTGGCAGAGGGGTGTAATCGAGCATGCTGATCACCCCCGTGGGGGGAAATTTTCTATTCGGAACATTCGTACACACAGACAGACAGACAGACATACATACATACATACAGACAGACAGACAGACAGACAGACAAACAGACATTCAGCTTTATATATAAGATACGGTATCCCATCTTCAAATCTGTAACAAAATACCAAAATTTGAGTTTCGCATATGATGGCCGTGATCAAGCCATAAATTTCATGCCTAGAACATGGAAAATACAGCTTACTGATCGTATTGTTTCTCAATCTTTATCTTAGCTAACAACAAGCTGTATCCAACTCTACGTTTAGAATGTAGCTTGTTACTTCTTGAGCCATGTATAAGCTGTTCCGTCAGGCCTCCATGTTCATCAAACGTCGAGAAACATGTAAGAAGACGTCTCCATGATATAGGTGCCTTCCAATTTCATTTTCGCATCTTCGCAAGAAAAGTTCTTTATGAGTCTTCTTCCAATTTATTCTTCCGAACTTGGAAAACGGCTTGAAAAAGCCCGAACAGAAGAGAAGAGCAGCCCGAGCCGCATTAAGGAAGTCACCGACCAATTGAAGGACCCGGAGCTTCTGCCTACTTGTTCGACTCAACCGTTCTCCCGCCGCTCTGTTACGCAGCTGAGACTTGAGGTGACACCGTAGCCACGTCGAAAGCTCTACAGACCACCCACAGCGCAGTCTTCTGAAGATGACCCCCCGACACAAAGAACATCTTGTCGGCCTTCGCAGTACGAATATGAGAAGAATGTCCCATCTTCGTGACCCAGCGGAATCCCTACGAAATTGAAGCTCGATGGGCCGGTCACATCATGAGAAGAAAAGACGACAGATGGACGCTAAATAAACGGAGTGGAGTCCTTGCGAAGCGAAACGTCCTCGAGGAAGAACTCCAACCTGATGGGCAGACATGTTCGTGGAACGGATGGACCAGCTGAGAAATCAGCTAGATACGATTTTCGCACTTGGAACTCGCGGACGCAGCTACCGAAGTCAGCCAAGAAGGTCGTGGTCTGAGCGAGGTAAAGAGAAATATGGAATTTTTTTACTGGGGCCCGCACGTTACGTGAAGCCGGGCCATCTAAGTATCTAAGTAAGTATCATTGACTGTTTTGCAAAAATTTCATAACCATTAGAAAGAGGATGAAATGCTGCATCGAATGCTACCAAGATCTCTTGAAAACCCTTGTTCCATCAAAAGTGGCGCCCGTTTGAAAAAAGCGAAATTACTTTTGAAACGACCTAGTATACTGAAGAATGTCTGTTTGTCTGTCTGTCTGTCTGTCTGTGTGTACGTATGTGCGGAATAGAAATTTTTATTTCTGAGCCGATTTAGACCAAACTTGGCACACATATACTTCGGGGCAGGGGGCGTGTCATAGGCCATTTTCGTCATCGATCGAAATCGTTATCGAATTTTATCAATTTTTTTGCAGAGTTCACCTACGGGGCTGGGAGTTTGCACAGGGGGGTAAGTGAGCATGGCGATTCCGAATACAATATTAGTCTTCAGAATTATCGATTAGTTTTGTCGATTTTATCGATTTTTTGCAAAGTTTGAGCCACAGGGCTGGGAGTTGGCACAGTAAGTAATCGAGCATGCTGATTACGAATACAGTATTAATTTTCAAAAATTATCCATTGCTTTTATCGATTTTATCGATTTTTTTGTAAAGTTTGAGCTACGGGGCTGGGAGTTGGCACAGGGGGGTAAGTGGGCGTGCTGATTTCGAAAACAACACCGGGAACGGGAAATGAAGTGTAGAAGTGGGCACAGGGAAAGGCTGTACAGGGATAGGGATGGGATGGGAGCTTTATTACAGTGTTTTGACAGCGCCGAGCGGAGCTGGGTAGCAAGCTAGTTTGCAATATAGTAGCAGATGTATTAGGTTGATGCATAATTCTTGCACCAAAATAGGTACAGACCCAAATAGTATCTTGCTCCATATGGTTAGTATTGAGCTTTGAAGAGTTCATACAATGCATGTATTAGGCCGTTTAAAAATAATGTTCGTTTTTCTAGGCCTACTTTCCTAACAATTTTTTCCGTCAAGATTTCTTTTTCGATATGGATTCTGCATAGCATAGGGAAAGTTTTCTTCATGCACTTTCTAACAATGGTGAATAATCTTCTGATTCATTTCCATCAAACGTGGCGCTCCTCAGAAAAAGCGAAAAAACTTTCGGAATGACCTAATATATTCCCAGAAACTCCCAGAAGTCTTGTAGAGGTTCCTTTGCTGTATTGAGCAATTTGCTTTCCACACCTTTATACTGACACTGTCGCGATCGCGTAAGGAACGTGTGTTAATTTCCGAACAACCTAATAGCCGGGAAAATGATCAGAGAGCATACTCACGAAAGGGGTACAGAGCCGAACGGGGCGATCTCGCAGAACCCGAGCCGCATTAACCCCTATCACTTCTAATGATACAGAGAAAACGTACATTCTAATGTATCTAGGGTTGCCGTATCCGCCCTTCATTACGGATCATCATTTTTCGACACTGCTATCTCTAACGTGAAGCCTGGTTCTAAAACTTGCATTCTCAGACCAATCACATTGAGGGCAGAGCCTACGTGGAGATTCTTCCTTCTGGCGGTTTTTCTCGCTTTGGAATTCATCTTTTGCAGCAAGTCTTGGGCAATGGCTTAGTTAGGTGCTCCTCCATTATACTACAGCAAAACCGCATTACCCTCAGTTTGATTGGGCGGTGCCTTCAAGCGACTAGCTTCGGGTAATCTGGGACATTTTAGCAAATTGAAAATGGATCAAAAAAGTGGTTTTTATCGTCTTTTTATTTATGCACTACATTCCTCACACTATCATCGGCTCAATAGTCTCTAGCAAAACTTACGCTACTTCAACCAGCCTGGTATTTCAAACTGCACTCCTTTTTAGGATCTTCTAAGCAGTGTCTGAATATTCGAGTTCTTATGTGGGAAACTGATTTAAAGGTCTTTCACGCCTTTGATCGACATATGTATGAATCATTCGGAAACGAGAGATTTGATTTAGGCTGCGTTCATACTGATCCGGAAGTCCGGTAACAGTTTCAGCACGCGCTTGAAATGAGCGCTGTACTGGAATTGTTTCCGGAATTCGGGATCAGTATGAACGTAGCCTTAGCTCGTACCGTACTTTTCGAAGCGGACCGGTCAGCGCCTCGAGTACGGTGTTGGCAAGACTTTAGAGGAGAGCTTGATCAAGAACGACTTATGAACTGCAGCTTGGGCAATAGCCTCAAAGAATGCCTTTCACCATCGAATACTAAACAGACCCAGATATAGGCCGTCCACGCAGGGCGCGGAGAATGCGCAAGGTGTGTATTGCGCGTACTCCTCTTTCCTCGTGCACTTTAGCCGCCTGTTTTTCTCTGCGCTTCTTCCAGTCGTGAACTGCCTTCATTGTACGCGACAGCGTGCTCTCCGTGCGCAGCCCGGACGGCCTATACTACCCAATTATTAGTCACTGGTGCTAAGCAGGTAATCTGACTTTCAAATACATCATGTATGATCGGCTCCAAGATTTGGGTAGGAGCGGTTTGCGGACTTTCCCTGTTTATAACGACAAATTTGTAAACCTCCTCTTATAGCATTGTATTTCATACTTTCTCGCTTCTAAAAACTGCAACGCTTTAAGGCCGCAGCTCCGCCTCTATACGAATCGTGGAGCCCATGGTACTTATATACTTAAGGAAATTACATTACGGTAATTGCTACTTTCAACATGCGTTTCTATTTTGAACCCTGCGAAATTTCTGAAAAGCGAAATGATCCTTTGTAAAATACCGCTGTAATAAACATATTTCTCTGGTGAACTAGAATTTTTCAGGTTGTTCGCTATAGCGCAGTGGGTGGGGGACCATGATCAGAACATCTCGAATTCAGTGGATAGCAATCATCGTCATGGTGACAATCTCATTCATACTCATCCATAACGCTTACACTGTTCATAAAAACAGTGGCAAGCCACTCATCAAAGGAAATATTGAAGCTGTCAAAATTGCCAGCATGCCTCGTCCTGCGAGTATATCCAGCTTCAAGGAACCAGAAGTAAGGGGTGACATGAATTTCTCTAGACACCTTGCAATAATGTTGATTGTAGTTTCCCTTTGAAGTAATTGTGACTGGGCAAGATGCTGATAGAGATGTAAGAAAGAATGGAGGAAAGTCATTTGGCGCAGCTGCTTTCAGTCTGGAAGGACAAGTGAGATTTTGTTTCATAGTGAACCATATTAAGAGTTCTTCTTGAGCTATTTGTAACTAGCTTGTGTCTACGGTCCTACATGGACGCGGTCTCAGCTCAACTTTCAGCTGAAGTGTGTTGCAAATTCTAGAGCAGTCGAGTCAACTTACCTGCTACATTTCGCTTACAAGGAAAGGATACTCGGTGACCGTGACCTTTAGGAATGGGATGTATACCGTAAGATGCATCTCGAAATGCTGATTCTATATTGTGCTCGATATCTGCGGAACGATTTTCTGAAGTTGTAGTTGTGTTTCTGAGCCTTGACCCGAGATTGTTAAAACTTTATTGGCTGACGTTTCGGCAAGTCGCCTTCTTCAGAGCCTGAAATGGACAGTACGACTTGCAAGCTATTCGATCAAACGTCTCTGCAGCTATGCAAACGAAACTCTAAGGTTTCGGTAGATTAGTAACTAGCTGCCTAACCAAGCACTCACCTTTTGAACACGCCGATAAAGTTCTGATGCCAGAGCGAGCGTTGAATGATGAGTGCATATGCCACAGGAATATGATGATTTTCTGAAGGATGTTACGAACTTTTTTTCGTAGGAAATTTGCGTATTTTGGGTAGTAAAAATCACCAAATTCATTCTAGTTTACCGTCTGAAACTGTTGAAAGTAATTTTAGAAGGTACTGTTGTATTATATCTATCTGAATCATATTCAGCATTTAAGAGGGAAAGAGAAATTTTTAGTAATGATTTTCACTCTCCGCAGTAACGCAATTTATTTATGGAAAAATAATCATAACTCCATCCAGATCATCGTTTCGCATATATGAAAGGCAGTTTTTGAACCAGCATTAAAAGACGCATTTTTCGATATGTAAGTCATTATGAATGGCCACGGTCACCAAGTATCCTTCCCTTGTTAGAGGCAGTGTCCGGGCAAAAAGTCGGTTTCGAGATGTTGTACTTACCCGAGCATATTTGCTATGCTGAATCCGAAAATCGATGCTAGAGAGCGCGAAAACGACGGAAAAGGGCTTTAACGAGAGGGAAATCAGCAGATGGACAAAATTTTCCCCACTGTGAATTCATGCTTTCAGCTTCTGGACCGATCTTCTTATTCCAAAACCGCCCTGTCAAGTGCAAATGCTTGACCCAAAATCGTAACCGAAAAGATCTCAGCTGGGAGCGTGGATTCATAGCGGGGAAGACCTCGCCAACCTACGGATTACCCTTCTGCGTTAGAGCCCTTTTTCGCAGTTTTCGCGCTCTCCAGCGTCCGGACTCAGCATGGCGAATAGGCGCGGAAAAGCACAAGATCTTAAAGGCAGCGTCCGGGCAAAACTTCGAATAGAATTTTTTTTGCTTACCTGGGCTTATTCCTCCCGCTGGTTCCGAGAACGGAGCTTAGAGAGCGCGAAAACGCCGAAAACGGGCTTTTCCAGAAGCGCTTGATTTGAATTTTGTCGCCTGCCGCCAAGGTTAAGACGCATGGTTTTTGTGGGACCTTACGTCTGACTGTGTGCGGTATGCGCACTCTGGCTTATCGAACTAACTCGTCCCGGTCACCGGGGCGTTCCGGTCGCCACTTCTGAAGCGAATTTCTCGCCTTAGAAGCAAATTGGTGCACTGCCAATTGGGCAGGAGCTTTACCAGGACGGGAGCCCCTACACGTTAAAATTTCGTATCTGCCCGGACGCTGCCTTTAAGATCGGCTTTTTGCCCGGACACTGCATCGAAAGGCACTGTTCCGGTTTTGCATCTCCAATTTTATGCATGTGCTAGGCCTTTTCGACATGTAGAGCCCGAATCTGAGCTTTAAGCCGTCAAAAGACCGTATCTGGGGCTTTGCCCCATTTCCAGAAGGCAGCTCGGATGAGACTTTCAAGGGAAAGTTTGGAGGCTCGGCACGAAAACTCTGCCGGCTGTGATTTTTCCTTTTGATGGGGTGCACAATGCGGGAGTGGTTGTGGGCTCCGCGCCGAGAAGGTAAGCGAGTGTCCGAGCGCGTGCGTGTGCGCGCGCTGGTTCGGGGGCTTTTCTCTTGACGCAGCTGTAGCATTAACCAGCCGGCCGTACCCCTCATCTAAATATTAGGTCGTTCCGAAAGTAATGTCGCTTTTTTTAAATGAACGCCACATTTCATAGAATCAAGAATTTCAAGAGGTCTCAGAAGGATTCGATGCAGCATTTCATCCTCTTTTTTATGGCCCTAATTTCATTGCATAATCTCAGACAGTCGAAGGGATACCTGCGGCGGGCAAATGGCGCGAGTCTGCCACTTCGCGCTCTGGAACGCTCCGGAGCCCTGCCATTTCACGCATTTTGCTGCTCCGGGGCTCTCCCAGAACTGGCGCATTTCCGGAGCAGAGATTTGCGCGTATTGGAGAGGGGTCCCATTCGCCTGCTTATGACGTCATCGTGACGTCACCGTGACGTCACGGTGAACGAATGGGACCTCTCTCCGGGACGCGCAAATCTCTGCTCCTGAGATGCGCCAGTTTTGGTAGAGCCCCGGAGCAGCAAATGCGTGAAATGGCAGGGCTCCGGAGCACGCCACAGCGCGAAGTGGCAGACTCGCGCCATTGCCCGCCGGAGGTATCCTTTCGACTGTCTGAGATATTCAATGAGCTCTCGAAAAATTACCAAAATCTATGACTTATGTTTTTTGCCATGGTCAAGTTCGACTATTTTTCTAAATTTTTGTACTTATTCTCCGAAGAAGTACAAGTGACAGTCAGATAGAGCAAACCCTATAGAACACAGGGTTGTTCTTTTCTTTTCCTTAGCTTCTTCTTAGAGTTTCTGGAATCAATTTTCAATGCCAACAAATTCCATATTTGGTTAACTCAAACCTCACAGAACAACAACCGACAAGCGACTCGGGTGTCATCCGACGCAGCTTTTTCTCCTCTTTCTACCAGTTGTTTTTTGTTTCTGATTCATCAAGTTTTCCTGGATAAAATCATCAAAATTCGGGTTTTCCAGGGCGCCCCAGGCTGTACCTGGAGATTTCGAAAGTTGCTAATATGAAGCGGTGAATGTTCATTTGGTTTGTAAAATTAGTGTCAAACCATAACCCGTCTTTGTAAGTTTCAAAATCTGATGATTTACTGGTGTTTGATGCATTTGTGTCTGAGGCGAGAATGCTAAAAATCGGTGGTTCCATCAAAAAATCTGTACAAAAATTACGACGAGCTCTGGAAAATAGAAAAAAGCTGTGCTTTTTCCTGTGGGGTTTGCTCTATCCATCCATTACTTGACTCCTTGCGAGGATTGTTGTAAGAATTTAGAAAAATTGTGAAACCTGGCCTTCTCAAAAAGCATGGGTCGCAGATTTTGACTCTTTTCTGGAAGCTCATTGACTGCATTGCAATAGCTTCATAACCATCAAAAAGAGAATGAAATGATGCATCAAATGCTGCCAGAATCTCTTACATATCTTTGTTCCACGAGATGTGGCATACGTTTGAAAAAAGCGACATTACTTTCGGAACGACCTAATATACCCGAGAATGGATCGCGAAAATTTTGAAAGTTACTTATATGAGTCATAAAAATGTGCAAGAGACTTATTTATATTTGTAAGTAATTAAAATAATTTTTTAAATTTTTTAAAAATTCAATTTAGCTATATAAAAAAAATTTTCGGAAGCTGCGTGGCTAACGCCACGCATCTTCATCAGAAAAAATTTTTTGTCGCCCAGGATTTCGGATTGGGGGAGCGGGGCAAAAAATTTTTTCTGATGAAGGTGTTGTGTGGCGTTAGCCACGCACTCCGAAAAAATTTTGGGGGTGCTTCAAAATTTTTGCGGGTCCCCAACCCTTATTATCTGCCCGAAAAAATTTTTTCGTATAGCTAAATGGAATTTTTAAAAAATTTTAAAAATTATTTTAATTACTTACAAATATAAATAAGTCTCTTGCACATTTTTGTGTCTCATATAAGTAACTTTCAAAAATTTCGCGACCCATTCCCGGGGGGGGGGAGGGGCCCTGGCGTCAGCCACGCTCTCCAAAAAACTCCTTTGGTATGCTTCTTAGGGCCGCATGCACTAACCTCCCCGCGGGGAGGGGATCGCAGCTTAAAAGAAAGCTTTATATTTCGAAACTCCAAATACCTGGATTTCACGTTGTGTACCTATCCGTAAGTATTCCTACTACCCTTCACTAAGAACATGTTGAACAGGAGGGAGAGAAGCTGTACGAACCGCATTTTCCAGCTTTTGTATGATCCCTGATGATCCCTGGCGCTTTTCTTTAAAGTCATATTTCTTTCTCCGAAGTCAACGAAAACCTTCCAAAGTTGCACTGAACATCTAAAACAACAGTGCTTAGCATGTTGCTGATGAGAACAAATGAGTTTTTGAAAAGTCGAATTTTTCGGTAAACCTCGAATTTCGACCTGTGGATCATCGAAAATTTCATGACTTCAAAAATCATTTGTTCTTATCAGCAACATGCTTAGCACTGTCGAGTTAGATAATCTGCACAACTATGGAGGTTATTCGTTAACTTCAGAGAAAGAAAAATGACTTCAAAGAAAAGCGCCGGGGATCATCAGGGATCATACAAAAGCTGGAAAATGCGGTTCGTACACCTTCTCGCTCCTGTTCAACATGTTCATAGTGAAGGGTAGTAGGAATACTTACGGATAAGTACACAATGTGAAATCCAGGTATCTGGAGTTTCGAAACATAAAGCTTTCTTTTAAGCTGCGATCCCCTCCCCGCGGGGAGGTTAGTGCATGCGGCCCTTAGAATGTTTGCGAGCCCATAACCCCGAAATCTTAGAAAAGGGGCGTGGCGACAGCCACGCCTCCGAAAAAAATTTCAAAGCTAAATTAAACTTTCAAAAATTTTCAAAAAAATTATACTGATTATGCGCAAGTATGAACAAGTCGCTTGCATATTTTTATAAGTCATATGAGTAACTTTTAAATTTCGCGATATTTTCTCGGGGGGGGGGGGGGGGGAGAGCGCCCCCCTCGGTACGTCACTGATAAAGATTACCGCATAACATCTGCTTTGCAGAGGCTCGCAGTGTTTCTACTATCCACATGCCTTCCTCGTGCTCGCATAAGGATGATTTAATTCGATACCGATCATCACGGTTGAATTGTAAGTAACCACTCATGGAATCTTTCTTATGTGCGATCGGTGACTTTGGGAGGAAGGAAGTTGTGTGCATAAGATAAATCGCAAGGAGTCAATACTGGAGTTATTATGGTTTCGTAGTCGCCATAAAGATTTGAGCATAAATACTCTCATAGTTAGAACTTTACAAGTCGACCTTGTACGCATTATTCTCTCTATTGGCATAGTTTGCGGATTTACCTCTAAAACAAGTCCACAACTTTGCAAAGAATTCTAATCAGGTGCCTTCATATTGCGCCGGCAGCGAGTGCTAGCAGCATCTACCGCCGCCAGCAGCCTTCAGCGGCCCGTAGCCGCCGCTGACGGTTTTTGTTGTCGAAGGAGCGTAAAATCATCAGATTTTTACTACGCTGAGTGCATCCGCCTACGCTTTTCATGTTCCAAACTTTTTCTTTCCTAATTCCTCCGATGTGCAGTTTGAGTCACACACATCACATATGCTCTTATTGCTGTCATTTCTCATTTCCTTCTTGTTGCACTGCTCTGAAGAAAGAGGCTAGTAAAAAAAAGTGAAACAGAAACGACATAGTATACATCCAATTATATCAGCATAATTTTCCCACTCAGTTATCCAGCGTTGGCACGCACCTTTATTTGTCGTGCTCCATCGTTTGCTCAGTGACGAGCTAACGATGGAGTACGACAAGTGAAGGTGCGTGCCAGCGCTGGATAACTGAGTGGGAAATTGTGCTGATACAATTGGATGTATGCTATGTATTGTGTTAGAGAACACACAGCACAAAGCTTTGTCAAAAACAAAGGAAGCAAAGCACGCAAGAAAGATTTCAAGCGCAACCATTTTGGAGGTTGTTCAATCATTGAGAATCGTTCTAGACAATAAAGATTGCAATAACTAAGTGTGGGCACCGACAGCATATCCAATCTACACCAACAAGATAATGATAATCAAGAACACAAACATGAGTGTGAAAGTCGAATGCACACTAGCGAATTCAGGAAGAGAGAGCATGAGAAATTAAATGCACACAGTATACTAAAAATTTGATGATTTTGCGCCCTTATGGTAACGAAGGCGGCCAGTGGTGGCTACGGCTGCTGGCTACTGACGGCTGCTGGCGGAGGCTACAGACTGCTAGCAGCGGCTGCCGGCGCGATATGCTCAGATAATCGCCGGGGCAGGCGGCCATGCGACTTATGGGCAGGGGCACTGGAAAAATAATTCGCTGATTTCCTGCGCTCCGCCAGGTATTTGGAAGAATTTTGGCAAAATTTTGAACAAATGCTCGGAGAACAATCGCGAATTTTTCATAGCAGTGGCGCAGTGGCTGCATTCTCGCGGACTTTCCGCTAGAATATGCAGAATTATGCGGGCCGCACGGTCCTTTGTGAAGGACCGCTGCCACGTAGGTAGGTACTTTCCGCTAGGAGAAAGTACCCCAAACTCGGGTAATCAAACCACCAATGTCACCTCTGTTATGTAGAGTGTTATCTTTGCTCGGCGTACGCCCGAAACTGTGCAAAAAGAGTCCAAGCGCATGCTGATTTTTTGGCCCGCGCTCGCTGAAAGAGATTATCTGACGAGCTCCTGCAGAAAATTTTGTAATGCTGCGGCTGGCAGAGCACGCTTGCTGAATGTTTGGCCACGCCCCAAAATTTCGCTGACCGCTTGCGGAAAAGCGCGAGTTTGCGGACCGCCTGCCCCGGCAATTATCTGAGTGAAGGAGCTCTTACCGACTTCTCAGATAATCATCGGGGGCAAGTGGCCATGCGATTTATGAGCAGGCGGGCATCCTAGATATAGTGAGCTGATTTACTGCTGTCCGCTTGCAGATAATTGGAGGAATTTTGGCGAAATTTTAGAAAAATGCTCGGAGAACAATTGAGGCTTTTTCTTAGAATAGTTGCGGCGTAATGGCCGTATAACGGGTGCTTCACAAAATTTTGCGGGCCCTTAACCCCTGAATTCTAAAAAAAAGGGCTGGCGGCAGCCACGATCCCATAAAAAATTTTTTACGAGGCTAAGTTGAATTTCTGAAAATTTTGAAAAATTTTCTTAGTCATCTACAAGAATAAACAAGTTGCACATTTTGATAACCTATTGAGTAAGAAATTACATTTTCGTTCTTTCCCTCCCCCTCCTCGGTCCGCCACTGCTCAGACAATCGCCGGGGGCAGGCGGGCACCGGAAAAATAGATTGCTGATCTCTCGCACACCGCTCGCGGATTTTTTGGAAAGCAATCAGGACTTTTCGGAAGACCGCTTGCTGAATTTTCGATTCCTCAGAGATTCGGCAATATATCTGCAAAAGATAAGGGCGAAAAAAATTCAACAGGCGGTCTCTCAAAAATCCGCTGACTCAGCAAGCGGTCTTCCGAAAAATCCTGATTGCTTTGCAAAAAATCCGCGAGCGGGGTGCGAGAAATCAGCAATCTATTTTTCTGGTGCCCGCCTGCCCCCGGCGATTGTCTGAGTGGCTAGTATCTATGTCGTGCAAAATTGTAGCTCGAGACGTTGGCTGCTACTTGCTCTGTAAATTTCGTGATAGATAGACATACGCACACCCATACACATGCAGACAAAAGACAGACGTCTTTAGTGTCTTAGTATAAGTCATGACGATAAAATATATATATATTTCAATTCAGACATGTCGAATACCAAAGCTGGATATCAACGGTTCGGAAGTCAAAAACTTCTTTTTCAATTCAAAGCCTCTTGAATGCTCAAAAAATCCTCAAAATTGGCTTTTCATCGATGGTAGCAACAATGTGCAGTATATAGAAAGCAGGTAACATTACGGTTGTTCTATTTTCGTAATTTGTCCATGTTTCCGCAACTTGAGTCCATTTTTCAAAGGAAGAGCGCCAAGTGCAGCGGATCATACGTTACGAGAAAGAATGATTCAATGAGTATCCATACTGCTTTTGACTCGTTGCCAGCCGGTAATCCCATGAAGTCTGATTTCGCCGTCGTCCGCTGCAAGGATGGAGAGCAAACATGGTAAGGAGCATAGGTGCAATGAGGTAAGCCGAGTGCCCTCAGAGTGAATGGGCTCTTGGCTGTTTTGACGCTCAAAAATGAAGGGTCCAAAAAGCGTTCACTCGAACAAAGGGGGGAGGGGAATGACGACGCGCGCCTGCAGTACCTCAATGCATGGTAAAAAAAAACTTCGTTTGGGACTTTCATCGAACGTGGAATGATGGAAATACGATATTGACCAAAAACTACTTAAGCACACCGGCATAGATAATATTAATGGGCAGCTTTGCTCGGGGCTCACAAGTATGGATGTGCACTACAATAAAAGAATAAATTGTCAGGTTGTGTTCGGTTTAGCAGAAACATGTTATAGGAAATTACCATGATAGAAAGATGGAAACCTTATATTACTATAATCTTTATGTAAACGAAAGCTTTCAAAACAGTAAAGCCGAAAATAGCCGTTGAAAGATACTTAAGCAAGGTTTTATCTAGTATGAGTTACACCAAATCCCTTTGCTAGAGTATAGGTAATGTTAGTAAACCTTTCCCTGTAAGATGCAAAAAGAAGTTGATTATGGGATGCTTCCATCACGGAGATAAGAGGCTGCAGAAAGCCACCCAAAATTGAATGTTTTGCAATAGGTTTGTTTAAGGCAGGCGCTATAATCCTCGAGGAGTATAGCACGGCGACGATTGATATGCATCAAATGCGTGTAAAACCGGCGATTTTTGTCGCCGATATTGGCGATCGCCAGTCGCTACGACGGGCGATCGCCCGTCGCCATGCTATACTCCTCGAGAAGTATAGCGCCTGCCTAATCAAACAAGAGTCAAAGCAAAAGGATGCACGGATTCTCACTTCATGAGTCATCGACTGATGAACAGTATGTGGGGTGCAATGCTTGCCCGTGCGGGAGGGGTGGGCCTGTTTAGACGAGCGTGGTCACCCCTTCGTGCATCCAAGCCACTGAGGTGGACGGAGCGAGCGCGCTCAACCAAGCGGGCTCTCCTCTCTCGTGGTAACCCACAAATATAATGTACCCTATTTTCAGGTGTATAAGCCGCGGGGTGGTCCTAGCTTACATCGAGCAGCCCGAACACATCAATGGACCTCGCATCCAAAGGACCCTATAGTGTGCTGCGTATTGCCTGAAAGTATCGTGCGGTATGAGGATCACTTCTCGAAACACAATGAAGCGGCTGAGCAGCCCGGGCGAAAACTTGAAAAAGTGCGGCTTATACACCTGAAAATAGGGTACTCGATAGCTTTTGAAGAGAAGAATCCATGTACACTCTTTCCTTCTAACTTCTTTTACTTAAAAAGAAGTTACTACAAGAAATCGCTTTTGAGTGAGTTTGTTTGCAACCTCATATCTGAGTTGTAGGGTCTTTTACTCCTTTTTGCATCTTATAGAGGAAGATTTGCGCAGTACTACCTATACCCTCGCGAAAAGATCTGCTATCAGGAAAGAAACTTGCAGCCACGACTTTAAAATGCTAAGTTCAAGTAATATACCGTTATATACTGTTACTGTTAGTATACTACTAAACAGTATACTATACAGTATACTATACAGTATACTATACAGTATACTATACAGTATACTATACAGTATACTGTATAGTATACTGTATAGTATACTGTTTATACCATCTTTTTGCGAGGATGATATAAGAGGAGGTAATGTTAAGTGGATAATCTTCTTAATGACGCAAGGAAAAGTACATTATGAAAATGTGGGGATCGCTTTGGCTTGGGGGAGGAAGGAGGGAGGTTCTTCTTGAACACTCCAGAAGCTGCTCAACGTCCATTGTTTGAACTCTGCCTCTGTTTAGTCACCTTATATTCTTTAGCGAGCGGATCCTTATTCTTTCCATGACAGCCAACTTGAGCTGGAATCAGCTTAACAACTTATTTTCTACGAGTGCGTCACCTCTGCTTCACAAGATCGCAGTGGCTCTTCTATCTCTATGTCATACTCATTCTCGCATAACATGGCCATGAAACTTACCGCGCAATGCCCGCCTTCGCAAATGAATCGTAAACGAACTACTTCTCAGACAATCGCTGGGGGCAGGCGGGCACCGGAAAAATAGATTACTGATTTCTCGCACCCCGCTCGCGGATTTTTTGGAAAGCAATCAGGACTTTTCGGAAGACCGCTTGCTGAGTCAGCGGATTTTTGAGAGACCGCCTGTTGAATTTTTTTCGCCCTTATCTTTTGCAGATATATTGCTGAATCTCTGAGGAATCGAGAACTCAGCAAGCGGTCTTCCGAAAAGTCCTGATTGCTTTCCAAAAAATCCGCAAGCGGGGTGCGAGAGATCAGCAATCTATTTTTCCGGTGCCCGCCTGCCCCCGGCGATTGTCTGAGTTATTCCGAAAGCTTTTTCGTGTGAGATCGCTGATCGAGGATGAAACTTTGAAAGATGGAGGACAAATGTAGAATTAGAACATTAGACCTATGCAACGCCGAGGACATCAGGATTTCAGTAAGCGATAAGAGTGGCGAGTTCGTAGTTATGTCACGTGAAATGAATAAGGCAATCACGCAATTGCATCTAGCAGATGATACGACTTACGTGCTTCATCAGCAGATTTTGGGAAACAATACCGCCGCCTCAATAGGATTTGGCCTGATATTGCGCGGTCTGTGGGGCTCAACAGAAGCTTATTACCACGTCTCAAAGCGAAATGTCTCTCCGTCCTGTGCTTACCTTGATAAAGACGCACAAACCCCCGACAGTAAGGCTGTCTTTAAACAATGCGTGCGATTACAAAGTTCGGCCCATAATCAGCGGTATTGGGGGCCAACAGACAAAATAGCATGGTTCCTTAATAATTCTGTCACAGCTGCTCCAGTTCGTCCCTGCGCACCTCAGTAGTACCAATATGCTCCCTGATCGCCTCCGTACAACACAGCTTAGCCGCGACTGCGTCATTGAATCATTTGAATTGAGATCGCTTTATACCAATGTATCCAATGATGCTGCACTTCAAACTAGCTTTGAGTTGCTGTCTAAGCACCAAGCCTCTTTTAACTTACATGGTTTTAGCATCCACGGTATAATGACCCTGTTACACGAATGCTTGCAATGTTCAGTATTCCGATGGTTCGGGCCAATATTACAAGCAGATTAGAGACTTGGCAATGTGGCAACGTCTCGCACCTACTTTGGCAATCATTTTCATGTCTAGGATAAAGACGCCAGTACTGCAGCGAAAACCCCTGCTTTATGTTGCTATATAGAAGACTGCTGCGTTATATGCCCAGCTCAAGCCGAAGTAGATACTTGCTTCCAAATATTTAAACAGTCACCAAACGTCGTCACCAGAGAGAAGCCTAGTGGGGGTGGTTGGCGTTTCTGAATGTGCAGATCCATCTAGCAGGCACCCAGCAGTAAAAACATCTTGGTACATTCTTTGTCTGCTCATCCAAACAGCACAAAACGGTTTTTTGTGGGCAGTACAAAACAGCAAAACAGCTCTACGGGTATGTTCCAGCAGCGACGAACGATCATACTCCATCGCCCTGGCACAAAGGATTACAGTGGTTATGCCACACTTGAGCACAACCGCAGAGCAGGCGGTTTTTCTCGGAGCAGAGCTCATGATATGAGCACTGATAACGAGATCCCTTTCTGCCTGCCATTTACTTCCGATGAATTGAGCAGGGCAGTGCGGCGAGGCCTACATCAGGCGGGTTTGCGCGGTGTGGTAGGAATGGTCGATATTCCTCCCGCTAATCTCAAACTCCAATTGGTTCGTAATCGAGCTTGTGACCGCATATGTAGTACTCCAAACTGCATGGTTTGCCTGATGGTAGATGTGAAAACAGTACGTTAAACGGGGTTATCTACCTCATTACATGCTTATCATGCGGCGACACTTACATTGGCGAAACTGGCGTCCGCCTTGCTGTCGCGTTAAAGGCAGTGGCTCGGCAAATCTCAACCTAGTCAAGATTGCGCTTACCTGGGGTTTTTCAATACGCTGATCCCGAAAATCCACTTTTGAAAACTTGAAAACGGCGAAAATGAGCGTTTTTCAATGTCCTTCCCTTTGATATTGGACGAGTGGAGCAAGGCCGATGACGCTAAACCGTGGCAGGACCCAATGGTTATAGCGTTGCGGCGGGCAGCCTCTAATGGTGAGAAGGAAATTGCCAACTCGTCCAGATGCGTGTAAGATTGGCCTGCGCGTGTAAATTCGAGAGCGATTTTCTCGGCAGGGAAAGCATGCTGTGCAACCGGGATTGCACTGTTTTCATAGTTGGGCGATAAGGAACCTACCGCGTTAAAATCCCGAGTTGTTGGATTTTGCCGATCCACTGCCTTTAAGGAACATATAGACGGTTTGAATAAGCTAAAAGCAGCTACGCCATTAGGCGCACATCGTATTACGCGCCATGGTAAGGCTCCTATACAAGTTACTGTAAAGATCTTGTCGTCAGAATCCGAGATCCTCACGCGCAAAACTCATAAGAGTTTTCCCCAGTTCTGTTGTGTATAGTCAACAGATGACATTAAAATATTCCACAAAACCCAAATGTGAAAGAGATCACGCGCATGCAAAGGTGACAGACAGCTTTGGAGCAACAGAACAGATGTCCATAAAATTCAGTAATCTGTCGTTTGGCTAAATTTGGCTAATTCACCATCATGCATGGTTTTTCTGTTCTTTGATAGCTACCACTTGTGAATCGACTCTTTGTGCATAAAGTGATCTCTATCTTATTCCATCTCATTTCTTGGCATTGACTCACTTTTTCGCTTCTTCAGAACCAAAAGTTTTGTCTTGCATGTGTCTCATGAATTGCATTGTTTAGGTATGCATTGGTTTGTTTCTTTACAAATGGGTTCAAGTTTCCTTGTTTTTTCTTGTTTGTTGTTCTATCACTATGAATAAATAGTAGGATGTACATCGTCAAATAATCTCTTTCACGAGCGCTGGCCAAACTTTCAACAAGCGCTCGGACTCTTTTTACGCAGTTTCGAGCGTACGCCGAGATAAGGTGAGACTTTATGTGGCAGAGGTTCATCCTCAGATAATCGCCGATGACAGGCGGCCATGCGAATTTTGAGCAAGCGGGCACCGGAAAAATAGTTCGCTGATTTTTTGCGGCCCGCTTGCAGAAATTTGGATTAATGTTGACCAATTTCAGACGAATGCTCGGAGAACTATCGCGGTTTTCCTATAGATTAGTTGCGGCGCATTGGCCGCATTCTCGGGGACTTTCCGCGAGAATATGCAAAATTATTGAGGGCCTGCAGCATAAGTCTCGCATTTGCTCGACGTACGCCCGAAACTGTATTAAAATAGTCCGAGCGCCTGCTGAAAGTTTGGTCAGCGGTTGGTGAAAGATATTTGTCGAGCGTCCGCAGAAAACTCTGTATTCTGTCTCGCTAGCAGGACATTCGATAGTAAAGGAGGTACCGCCCGCTGAAGGTTTGGCCATGCCCCAAAATTCTGCTGACCGCCTGCAGACAAACGCGAATTTGCGGACCGCCTGCCCCCCGCGATTATCTGAGTCGATGGTTTAATACCCGAGTCTGGGGTACTTTTAGGCGGAAGGTCCTACGGGTTGTGCGGTCCTTCACAAAGGACCGTACGGCCCCCAATATTTGGCATATTCTCGCGGAAAGCCCGAGAATGCGCGAATGCGGCCACTGGGCCGCAACTTATCCATAGAAAGACCGCGAAGTTCTCCGAACATTCGTCTAAAAATTGGCCAAAGTTATTCTAAATTTCTGCAAGTGGATCGCAAAAAATTAGCGAACTATTTTTCCGGTGCCTGCTTGCTCAAAACTCGCATGACCGTCTCCCCCGCAGATACTAGCCGCGGCGATTATCCGAGTGGGGGGGGGGGGAACCCCGGAGACACCGAATTGGCCCACCAGTGGATCTGGTCCGTTGTCTGAGCTTGACCGGTGGCATGTTGAGGCGGTTAGCAAAACCGAAAAGAAACTCCTAAAGCTGGGAGGGTGACCTCACATGGGGGGAAGGGGCCATTCGCTGTTTTTTCTCTCGCGTTAAAGTCCTTTTTCGCCGTTTTCGCGCTCTCCAGTGTGAATTTTCGGATTCAGAATAGGCCCAGGTAAGCATAAAATCTTAAGATCGACTTTTTGTACATTGTCTTTGAAGTTTCCTTCACTACATATCTCGCTAACTTCACGTACACTATTCTCATCTCGTTAGGATGAATTAATCTTTTTAGGGACGGTATACTGATGAGCGTTGTACGGCGGAGTGATCAGGAATTACTCAACCATGACTCGATGAAAAGTCCAGATGGCTCTGGATTGAATGTGTATTTCTTGGGATTTGATTCGCTCAGTCAAATGTCTTTCCGACGAAAATTGCCAAAGTCTGTCAAAGTTCTCGAGGAAGTGTTTGACGCGGTGGTTTTGAACGGTCACTACCCATTTTACTGTTGTGGATATTTTCAATGACGCTTTTGGAATTCCTAGTCAAGGCATAGCTTATTATATTTTTTTCATGTTCAAGGGTACAATATTGTTGGTGATGGCACACCTCAAGCATTTATTCCAATTCTTACCGCATCGACTGAAGAAGAACTTCCTCTAACCAGGTATCACCCTCGCACAGTTATGTTTTTTACTTGCTTTACATATATCTCGTTCATAAATTCGTAACAGCGGATTTGACTGCGGTCTTTGCGCCCACAGGAGCATGAAAACTCCAAAAAGGCATACCTCAGTGCTCAGCTCAGTCACTTCCATTGTCTAGAGACTATCATACGTAAGCAGAAAAAGCACTGGTGTAGAGATGAAAACCAAAAAATGCGGTTGCCGGAAGTGCGTGCTTGTCGCACAGTCGCGCCTACATGATTTTTCAAATGCCTTATACTTATGATACGACGAGATATGTATAGTCGATTTGTTGACCGCACGCACTGGACATCACTGCGGAGCACGCGTGGGGAGGTAAAACGCTTGCCCCAGTGCAGATTCGCCTTGTACAAATCTGCTCTCAAAAAATTCAGTCGCACCGTGCTAATCCGCAGCGTTTGAGCAGTCCTTGGATGAAGATTGACAGGATCATCTCGGCGGAGCTTCCTAATCGAAAAGAGGATTCTCTTTGTTCGAAGTTGTTCTCAAAAATATGATCCATGGGCCATGCGGACCACTAAACTCGAGGTCGCCTTGCATGAAGGACGGCAAGTGCACAGAAAAGGTACCCTGGGCAGCTGATTTGCGAAACCCAAACGGGAAGAGACGGTTATCCCCTTTACAGAAGGCGAAAACCAGATGAAGGAGGATATATCGCCGTCATTAGAATGAGGATGGACCATCAGTCTGTGGACGTTGAGGTTGACAGCAGCTGGGTGGTGCCATACACTCCCTTATTCTCGAAGATGTTCAAGGTACATATCAATGTAGAGTACTGTAATTCGGTAAAGTCGATTAAGTACGTCTGCAAATATGTGAAGAAGAAAAGTGACATGGCAACGTTCGGCCTCGAGCATGCCACTGCACCGTTTGATGAGATCGAGCGATATCAAACGGGCAGGTACATAAGCAGCAACGAGGCAGTGTGGCGCATTTTGGGTTTCCAAATCCACGAGCATTATCCACCCGTTGTTCACTTGAGTGTCCATCTAGAAAATGGACAACGCGTCTACTTTACGGCTGATAATGCGCGGCAAAGAGCTGCGCAACCACCTCAGACGACTCTCACAGCATTCTTCCTTCTGTGAGAACACGATGCATTTGCACGGACTTTGTTGTACTCAGAAGTTCCAAAGTATTATACTTGGAATAATTCAACAAAGAAGTTTGCCAGAAGAAAGCAAGGAGCTGAAGTTCCCGGACAACATGGCATACGTGCTGCGGATGTTTTAGGACGTGTATATACTGTACACCCTAAGCACGCCGAGTGCTTCTACCTCAGATTGTTGCTCCACACAATCCGAGGACCGACGTCATTCGCAAAATTGAGGATCATCGACGGAGAATACTGTGGGACCTAGAGAGAAGCATGCCGAAGACTTGGCTTGCTTGAGGATGATCAGCAATGGGGCCGGACTCTCGAGGAGGCATCTGCGACAGGTTTCTCTCTTCGCTATCATCTTGACGGCCTGTCAACCATCAAACTCCCAAGCACTTTGGGAGAAGTACAAGGAAGCTCTGAGTGAAGATTTACTCAGAGAATGTCGCAGAGCAGCACTCTCTGCACACATCGACTACTCTCTCGAGATGTTCAACCGAGCGTTGATACTGCTTGAGGACATGTGCACGTCGATGACCGGTCAAACCCTTAAGGATCTCTGTTTGCCGTCACCAATACGCGGAGATGACCAAGCACTTGAGAGCGATGTTTTCCGAGAGAGGTCCTATAATGTCGATCAGTTGTCGAGATTTGTAAAGTCCAACAGAGCCCTCCTCACGGAGGATCAAGAGTTAACATACCGCGTTGTTCTGGACACGATTTCCAGTGGCAAGGGTGGGCTACTCTTTCTCGACGCTCCAGGTGAAAACGTTCCTCATCAATCTCCTACTTGCCGAGATTCGCAGACAAGGAGGAATCGCACTAGCAGTGGCATCCTCAGGAATTGCATCAACACTGCTAGAAGGAGGCCAAACTGCTCATTCAGCCTTCAAGCTTCCTCTGGATATTGCTCACGTAGAGCACCCAGTGTGTGGGATAAGCAAAGGCACAGGGAAAGCCAAGGTGTTACAAGAAACCAAACTCATAGTTTGGGAGGAATGCACCATGGCGCATAAGAAGTGCCTAGAAGCCTTTGACAACACACTACGGGACATACGAGGAAGCAACAGGGTGATGGGTGGGGCCGTCGTGCTACTGGCAGGCGACTTTCGTCAAACTCTGCCAGTGATTCCATGGTCGACTCCAGCCGATGAGCTGGACGCTTGCCTCAAAGCTTGTCATCTCTGGAGACATGTTCGGTCGCTGAATCTCACGACGAACACGCGAGTCCACCTCCTTCTCAGACAATCGCCGGGGCAGGCGGTCCGCAAACTCGCGTTTTTCTGCAGGCGCTCAGCAGAATTTTGGGGCGTGGCCAAACCTTCAGCGGGCGACACTTCCTTTACTGTCTAATGTTCTGCCAGCGTGCAGCAACACAAAATTTTCTACAGACGCTCGTCAATTAGTCTCTTTCAGCGAGCGCTGGTCAAATTTTCAGCTGGCGCTTGGACGGTTTTAAGCAGTTTCGGACGTACGCCGAGCGAAGGTGGGACTCTGTGTGGCAGAGGAGTCATCGATGGTTCAATTACTCAAGTTTGAGGTACTTTCTCGCAGCGGAAAGTACTCAGATAATCGCCGGGGGCAGGCGGTCCGCAAACTCGCGCTTTTCTGCAGGCGGTCAGCAGAATTTTGGGGCGTGGCCAAACCTTCAGCGGGCGGCACTTCCTTTACGGTCGCATATTCTGCCAGCGGGCAGCAATACAGCATTTTTTGCAAGCGCTCGGCAAATAATTTCTTTCAGCGAGCGCTGGCCAAACTTTCAGCAAGCGCTCGGACTCTTTTTAGGCATTTTCGGGCGTACGTCGAGCGCAGGTAAGACTCTGTGTGGCAGAGGTGTCACCGTTGGTTTAATTACTCAAGTTTGAGGTACTTTCTCTCAGCGGAAAGTACCTGGGGGTTGCGCGGTCCTCCACAAAGGAACGTGCGGCCCTCGAAATTTTTGCATATTCTCGCGGAAAGTCCGCGAGAATGCGGCCACTGCGCCGCAGCTAATCCATAGAGAAACCGCGATTGTTCTTCAAGCATTCGTCTTTAATTTCGCCAACTCTTTCTTCCAAATTTCTGCAAGCGGGCCGCAAAAAATCAACGAACTATTTTTCCGGTGCGCGCTTGCTCAAAATTTGCATGGCCGCCTGCCCCCGGCGGTTATCTGAGGTACCTGGGGGCTGCGCGATCCTCCATAAAAGACCGTGCGGCCCCCGAAATTTTTGCATATTCTCGCGGAAAGTACGCGAGAATGCGGCCACTGCGCCGCAGCTAATCTGCAAGGAAACCGCAATTGTTCTTCAAGCATTCGTCCAAAATTTCGCTAAAATTCTTCCAAATATCTGCAAGCGGACCGCAAGAAATCAGCGAACTATTTTCCGGTGCCCGCTTGCTCAAAAATGACATGGCCGCCTGCCCCCGGCGATTATCTGAGTTGGCGATGAGACTGCCAGAAGCTTTGCGCAACACTGTTGCTTCTTGACGAAGGCAGAATTCTGCTCAGATAGTCGCCGGGGGCAAGCGGCCATGCGAATTTTGAGCAAGCGGGCACCGGAAAAATAGTTCGCTGATTTTTTGTGGTCCGCTTGCAGAAATTTGGAATAATTTTGGCCAATTTTTAGACGAACGCTCGAAGATCTATCGCGGTTTTTCTATACAAAAGTTGCGGCACAGTGACCGCATTCTCGCGGATTTTCCGCGAGAACATGCAAAATTATTGAGAGCCGCACGATCCTTTTTGAAGGACCGCACAGCCCTCAGGTACTTTCCGCTGGGAGAAAGTACCCCAAACTTGGGTAATAAAACCATCGATGGCACCTCTGCCACATAGAGTCTCATCTTTTCTCGGCGTACGCCCGAAACTGCTTAAAAAGAGTCCGAGCGCCTGCTGAAAGTTTGGCCAGCGCTCGCTGAAAGAGATTGTTTGACGAGCGCTTGCAGAAAATTTTGTATTGATGCCCGCTTGCAGAAAACGCAAATACCGCCCGCTGAAGATTTGGCCACGCCCCGAAATCCTGCTGACCGCCTGCAGAAAAGCGCGAGTTTGCGGACCGCCTGCCCCCGGCGATTATCTGAGTGGTTGAACCAAGTTTCTGGCTGGATTACCTTTTCTCCCTTCTGCAATATGGTCCAATCGGTGGGAGAACTGATCGAAAAGGTCTTTCCAAACATTGCCACCAACTTCAGCAATGGGGAGTGGATTTGCTAGCGAGCAATTCTGGCACCCAAAAATGAGCAAGTGAATTCTATCAATGCTCAGATTCTAAACAGCCTACCTGGACCAGTAACAACGTACACATCCTTTGATACGATGGTCCAGAGTGAACAGGCTGTTCACTTCCCCACTGAGTTCTTGAATTCACTCGAGCTTAATGGGAAACCACCTCACAGACTTGGTCTGAAGGTTGGGCCAATCATGCTCCTTTGCAACATCAACCCAACGAAGATGTGCAATGGTACAAGGCTTTGCATCAGGAGTCTCATGCCAAACGTCATAGTAGCGACCATATTGGTGGGGGAGTTCAAAGGTGAAGACGTTTATATTCCAGAATCCCTTTGGTCCCCTCCGATATGCTTTTTGACTTTAGGCGAGTGCACTTTCCGGTCAGGCCTGCACTCGCTATGACAATCAACGAAGCGCAAGGACAGTCTCTGCGAACAGTAGGAGTAGACCTGGAAACTCCCTATTTTTCGCATGGTCAGCTGTACGTGGCGTGTTCGAGGGTCGGGAGTCCGGCGAACCTGTACATATATGCGCCCGAAGGGAGCACAGCTAACGTAGTATATCCCAGGGCGCTAACATAATTGCATGCTGTAATATAGGACAGTATTTATTCGTTCATGCCATTCTATTAGAAAATCCAAAAAAATTAGAAAATATAAAATCCAAAAAATTGGAAAATTCAAAATTCAAAAAAAGGCAAAACGAAATCCCAAAAAAATAGTGGCCAGCGGCGGTCAGGGAAGGTGGGTGGGACAAACAAAGAAACTGAATAGTACCAGCTGAGCTATTTTTCCTTACTGATGAGTTCCGGGGAAAGCCTAGGACCTATTCAGCCAAGCCGTCTATGGGTAGGAACGAAACGGTACAACTAAAGAGCCGAAGCTGTATCTCGGCATTTTCACCCGAAGTGTATGTGATGCCGGGCGGAGCCGGGTACGCCAGCTAGTGTCTCATAATGAAATACGCAAGAAGCCGGACGAGATGCGTGTCCGCATCTCGTCTGGCTTCTCCTCGTCTACCATCTGCTATCGTTTAAAGAAAGTGCACGAATTCATGCTTTTATACGTAGTGATCCCGCTCACTTCCCGCGACAAGGCAATGTTACCGGCACGGTCACCGGCTGACATCTAGCTCCGCTCACATTTTTGGAGCGGCTGCCGGCCGGAAGACGGTCATCGCGCGGTCGCCGGCCAGTGCGAGTGTCTGAGAACTGTCTGAGATAAGGCCAATTCGAAAGGCAAAGCCATACGCGCGCGAAGTCCTAGCGTGGCAACTGCGCTTACGGAAAAGGGAGCAGATGAGTGACCCGAGCGTATATGTACACCCATCACCAGTTATGTGTCAAGCCTCAATACTAACTCCACTTTCTATGTTTGAGGGTTGTACTTCTTTGAGAATTTTAACTGACCTTTCTCCAGAAAGCGATTCCAAAATGCCAATTATGTGGATGACGTTTATCCATTTATCTGGTCGAATTTCTCTTCTGCTGGCTATGTCACACTATATGGGGAAGATGTATTTGTTGTAGGTAAGCACACATGAAAGTTGTCTATCCTCCAGTGTGAAGGGGTTCAACTTTTACTGTCAAAGTCATCACATCGAATTGGTGAAAGTACTGTGCTTTTTCAGCTCTCGCTTGTTGTGTAGAAATTCGAATTGATTGTCATCTTTGTTGAGTGTTATTCCGTATCAAGTGACTTAAATCTCATGGATCAAGTGTCTAGGAGCTTTCAATTATCGGTTGAAAGGTTTCCGTAATCAGCCAACTGATCACTACCTGCGGACAATTTTCAAGGATTACGAAAAGAAAGGAGGACATTGCCTTGGCTCTGAGCCTCTTCACAAGGTTAGCTCATTTCTTGCTCGAACTTTATTTATGCTCGTTTGTGGTTACTTTGTAATTTTCTTCCACTCAATTTTTCAAAAAGCGGTGCGTTTAGACTTGGTTCCGTTATTCGCGTGAATTTATGCAAGTTTACAAAGATATGCCACGTTTTCTTCTAATGCATCAGTGTCGACTTTCGCATGATGATATAAACTTGGTGGAAGTGGAAGATGAAGATCTTGCATCGACATTGTTGGAAATGCACAAGAGTGGTGAGTTCTTTCTTAGGGATCGTTCAGACCGCGCATAAAGGCGCGCAAAGGCACACAAAGGTGCATGAAGGCGCGTCTCGTCTCGTCTCGTTCTCAGACACTCGCGGTTAAGTTCCGCAGGAGATCCGCCCACAAAATGAGAAATCGCGGAAAAATCGGGACTCTTGCACGACACCCGGTTTTGTCCCGACTTTCGGGATTACCCCGACAGAAAAATTGAAGCGGGAGATTATTGGGTGTCGCGATTTCGGGGCGCGCTCCCAGTGTCTGAGCGTAAGGATACTTTTGTGAAATACGACGCATGGTCAGACTACCCTCAATTCCACAACTTTGGATGTGTTCCCAGTTTTACAGGCAAGAACCTGTCAATATGTTGTCTAGCGGACAACCTTGGATAGGATCTTGGCGTTATCCAATTTTGAACGCGGACTTGGTCTCCGAACTGCTGAACGTTGGCCCTAATTGATCCTTGTATATGGGAGCCCCGCCGGTGATTGGATTGCGACATTATCGGGACTCCCGCAGGAGCTCCCGGTTTTTTCATAGAAAACATTTCGGAACAAAAACGCATTTCGCGCAGTCTTATCCCGAACGAAATGCAGGAGTCCCGGTTTTCTCGCGAAGCATTTTACTTGAGTCCCGCGGTCATTCCGTCGAGACACAACTTTTTCACCGGCGGGACTTAACTGCGAATGTCTGAGTTTATCTCCACGCACACACACACACACACACACACACACACACACACACACACACACACACACACACACACACACACACACACACACACACACACACACACACACACACACACACACACACACACACACACACACACACACACACACACACACACACACACACACACACACACACACACACACACACACACACACACACACACACACACACACACACACACACACACACACACACACACACACACACACACACACACACACACACACACACACACACACACACACACACACACACACACACACACACACACACACACACACACACACACACACACACACACACACACACACACACACACACACACACACACACACACACACACACACACACACACACACACACACACACACACACACACACACACACACACACACACACACACACACACACACACACACACACACACACACACACACACACACACACACACACACACACACACACACACACACACACACACACACACACACACACACACACACACACACACACACACACACACACACACACACACACACACACACACACACACACACACACACACACACACACACACACACACACACACACACACACACACACACACCTTCCTGCGCCTTCCTGCGCCTTCCTGCGCCTTCCTGCGCCTTCCTGCGCCTTCCTGCGCCTTCCTGCGCCTTCCTGCGCCTTCCTGCGCCTTCCTGCGCCTTCCTGCGCCTTCCTGCGCCTTCCTGCGCCTTCCTGCGCCTTCCTGCGCCTTCCTGCGCCTTCCTGCGCCTTCCTGCGCCTTCCTGCGCCTTCCTGCGCCTTCCTGCGCCTTCCTGCGCCTTCCTGCGCCTTCCTGCGCCTTCCTGCGCCTTCCTGCGCCTGGTACTATTCCACATAAGTTGACGCAAAAAATGAAAATCGTGAATCTCACTACAACTTCGTCTAGGGGGGGGGATTTGGTACGCTGAACACGAATATGATGTTTATTTCGTGCGACAGCGCCATCCGGTGAAGTAACGGTAGGACTACGGTAGGGGGTCAAAATCACGGATTTGCGCGAAATTTGGCCCAGAGGGGTTGTTCGGCCCGCTGATGCCAAATATCACATTTGTTTTAAACCGTAGCGTCATTTTCTCGGGTTAAGGTAGATACACGGTAACGGGTGTAAAACACAGTTCATCCCGAAACGGGTTTATGGCGATTCGGATGATCGTGAAGCTTTGCACACATGACCACCGCCGCGCGCTATACACTCTGCTGCGGCTTTTGCCTAAGCAAAGCACAGGGGAAAGATACATTTGCCAATTTGTGATTTTGACCCCTACCTTAAACCTACTGTAACCATGCAGGGAGACGTTTTAGAAAGTGTGACATTTCTAATCAGCATGTCGAATAACCCCTCTGTGTAAAGTTACAGCGAATTTCAAGATTTTGACCCCTACCGTATACCCACCGTAACTCGAGAAAATGACACTACAGTACGAAACCAATATGATATTCGGCGTCAGCGGGCCGAATAACCCCTCTAGGCCAAGTTTCGCGCAAATCCGTGATTTTGACCGCCTACCGTAATCCTACCGTAACTCCACCAGATGGCGCTGTCGCATTAAATACATCATATTCGTGTTCAGCCTACCAGATAACCTCCCTAGACGAAGTTTTAGCAAAATTCACGATCTTCATTTTTTGGGTCAACTTATGTGGAATAGCGCCGTGCGCCTTTGTGCGCGGTCTGAACGATCCCTTACAATGCAGTTCGGTCATGTTGGAAAAGGAGTCGGTAGTTTTTGAGTTCGGATCATGTCTAGAGTTGCGCGCATTCATCAATTTACTCAGGCACAAGGTGGTTTCCCTGATATTTTGAGGTTGGATACAGCCTTCCGAACTGCTTTCGACTTAGCTATTTGTGACTGAGCATACCATCTTCAGTTTTTACATTCATAGGTGCACTGGATGATGCTCTAGTGATTGTAATGGCTGACCATGGCCATCGTTTCGCGAAATTACGCGAAACACATCAGGGACAACTTGAAGAGGTCAGTCGAACTTAAACTTTTTTGTTGCCTTACATAGCATCTCTAGCGTTTGCCATTCTTTGCCATTTCTTTGCCAGCCAAATTCCGCCAAACTGAAATTGGAAAGAAAATGGCTGAGAATCTTCGGGGGAACAAGAACAGGTGAATCTCTCGAGTATACTTGCCTCTTCATACAAGGTGATGATGATTTCTCAGGTTGACAACGCCTTTTGACATCCACGCTACGCTTATGGATATCCTTCATCTCCCAAAAGACCTCAGCGCTATGCAGGACACTAGCAAACGATCCCTGTCCCTTTTTCGCCCGATTCCGGAGAATCGCACTTGCTCACAGGTGATTTTACCCATGGATTTGGACGGGATTCATGCTTATTGGTTCAGGCTGGTATAGAAGCACATTGGTGCACATGCCTTAAGTGGGAAGACGCTATGAATACTCCTGAAGATAAGGAAATGTCGCAAAAGTTGGCGCTTGCTATAGTAAGTGTCATCAACAGACAGTTGAAGGATGTATTCCATCTGTGCGCCAAGCTTTCGCTCAAAGAACTCCTTGAAGCGAAAAAGTGAGCTTCAAAAGATCTTACTGCGTAGACTTGATGAGAGTGCTTTAAGACTTGTACCGAACGAGGGATTATTGAAGTACAAAAATGTGAAAGACAAGGATGGTTTTGTTCCGGATCTGAGCGGAAAAACGAAGACCGCCTTTGCCCATTATCAGATCAAGCTAAGAACGAAACCTGGCAATGCTGTCTATGAGGTGAGTGGTATGTGCTTATTCTGAAATAGTCTTTTGTCGGATTTTTAGTCATTTTTTGAATGTTCTGAAGCTTTGACCACCAATCATCGTCCGTTTGTCTTAGGCTGGGTTTATACTGATCCTAAGTTCCGGAACAGTTCCAGCACAGCGCACACAATCCGAGCGCTGTGCTGGAATTGTTCCGGAACTTACGGCTTAGTATGAGCCCAGCCTTATCGTACCCTGGCGTGAAGTATGTTCACTGCACTAGTCATGCAATCGACGCCTTTTGCGTTTAAGTACTGGCGTCTTTGGCTATGTACTTTGTTAAGAGCTCGGACATAGTTCATGTTTTTTTGTTGCCTCGGATTTTCACGACAACAGTTACCATTACATTTTGATCACCTTGAATTTCGGTTGTGATAGTATGATTAGTTGTAACAGAAAACTAACAACCGAAATGCAGAAGGATCGGCATGCAATGGACTCGCAACAGTTGTGTTGAAGAATCGCGAGACGAAGTCGCGTGAACTATGCCAAAGGCCTAACTGTTTTGCAAGATGTAAGCTGATGCTTCGTTTCAGTCAATTACAATTCCAAACCTCCAGCTAATAAGGGAGCCATGTTCAGTCCAAGTGGCCTTTTCAGATGGGATGCACACTATATTAGAGAGCATAAAACGCTGATTCCAAATCTGTTTTCCTTATCTGCGGAACGTTTATGGACGAGGAGTTATGAGCGTTTATTGGCATTAAATTTAATGTGGATTTAGGATAAAATGGGTTGCTAAACTCTCCAGCTCCTAAATAAAGCAATCAAGCGTTATATACTTTTTGTCTGAGAGTATAGATACATTGGATAAGTTGCTCTGATAATCACCACTGCTATATCAAAGCGTAGAAAACGGAATCTTGTCCTGATTGCACACGTAATTTTTTTTACTCTAATAAAAGCTCAAAATTCCTCGTCTGTAAACGTTCTGCAGATAAGAAAGGCAGATTTAGAACCAGCGTTTTATCACTCCATCATGGTGTACATACATCCCATCCAAAAAAGCCACTTCAATTGAACTTGGTTGTTTCCTTTTAAGAACTATGAACGAATTGACGAAACTTTTATCCTTTGAAGAACGAGCTTGTCATGCTAGTAACCAGTCTACCGCCCATTGAAATTGGGTGGTGCTCCTGATTTTCTAAACCCTAATATGAAAAAATATTCAGACAAGCAGTGACCGCGCATGTGTAAACATGTAAGCAATTTTTCGAAGTTTTCACAGGATACCAGAAGGCAATTCCAAAGTGCGGTAGAATTTTCAAGGATCCGTCATACTTCGCCAAAGAAGCCCGCAAAAAGCCCGAAAGAGCCAAAAGTCCCTTCTGTTTTGACGCTAAGACATGTGTTTTGATTTCGCAACGGAGTCTTTTTGCTTTATTTTCTGTCGTCTGCACATCAAAATAATGTCACAAATCTACCAAAAGTTTGTTTCTGCGTTCCGGCTCTTTCGGGCTTTTCTGGGCGCTTTTGGGCTTTTCTTGGCGAAGATGACGGGTCCCTTAGAAGACCAGTGGGATTTTCATGTCAGTATAACTTCTCGTGCCTAACATTGCCACGGCATATGGCAATTCTTTTAACACTTTATTCATGCCGAGCCTGCAAGACGAAAATGATACGCACAAAAGCAGTTGAAGCTTCATGAAACTAGCACATGACGCGATTCTTAGCAGAGAATCGCCCAATTGCCGCCTTCATGCAAACTAGCGAGTTCTAAAGTGATTTACTTGATTATTATTAGAAACGCGTTTTCTCGGAGGAAAAGAGGCGTCGATTGCGTGACATGTGCAGTGAACATATCTCACGCCTGTTTTACGCGGAAACAGCCGAACGATGGCTGTACAAGTGAATCGCGGTTCTGTTAGATTTGTGATTTCAGGTGACGCTATTCTACGACTTTGTCGCAAAAGAGGTGCATATTGATTTAAATTCAATAAGTCATCCGAGCAAGTTTGGTGACGCTCCGCACTGTATCATAAATGACAACTATTTTTTGGCTACTTTTTGCGTATGTCATGACAAAGTCACTTCTTTTGATAGCTAATTATCGATTAGCTAACCTTTGTTAGTAAGATCTTATTAATTCACGGGCGAATACGTTTCGTTGATTGAGTATTATTGTGATTCTTTGTATGTGGATTTGATATATATCATTCACATTTTGATTTCAATATAGTGTGGTCTAGTATAGTGCCTTTTCTAAGTTTTCCCTACGCAAGTTGAAGTATACTTTGGTTACATTGTTTGGACGAAATCCTGCGAATTGCTTCCTAAGTAGTGCATTTCGCCTAGACGCACTATGCATGTGCATGTGAGTATACCAGGGATTACCAGATATTCACTGCCTGTTGGGGAGAAATTATCGTTTTAGAAATTCAAGTTTTTTGAAGTAGATATGAGTGTATTTTTCTTTTATATTCTCGCATTTTGTTGAATTTCCGTTTTCTTTAACCTGGAATTGCTTAGTTACTGACTACTTACTCTCTCCTGCAATACTTTTTTGAATTCATAGTTTGTCTTGAAATTGAAATTTTGCACATTCTTGACTGTTTTAATGTAGTTGTAGCCTGCATTCACACCGTTTTTCGCCTCAAAATTGTCGCACTCTGTAAAAAACCTCTCTGTGGGTCGCGAAATTTTTGAAACTTACGTATCTTATATATAAAGCTGAATGTCTGTTTGTATGCATGTCTGTCTGTCTGTATGTCTGTCTGTACGTATGTTCCGAATAGAAAATTCCATTTCTGAACCGATCCGGACCAAACTTGGCACACATACACTACGGGCCCCGGCGGGTGTCATAGGCTACTTTTCGTCATCGATCGATATCGATTTTATCGATTTTTATCGATTTTTTTGCTGAGTTCACCTACGGGGCTGGGAGTTGGCACAGGGGGGTAATCGAGCATGGGGATTCCGAATACAATAATGGTTTTCAGGATTATCGATTACTTTTATCGATTTTATCGATTTTTTGCAAAGTTTGAGCTACGGGGCTGGGAGTTGGCACAGGGGGGGGGGGGGTAATCGAGCATGCTGACCATCCCCAAGGGGGGTGATCAGCATGCTCGATTACACCCCTGTGCCAAATTCCAGCCCCCTAGCTCAAATTTTCAAAAAATCGATAAAAGTAATGGACGATCTTGAAAACTAATATTGTGTTCGTAATCAGCATGCTCGATTACCCCCCTGTGCAAAATCCCAGCCTCGCATGTCAAAATTTACAAAAAATCGATAAAATCAATAAAAGTAATCGATAATTCTGAAAACTAATATTGTATTCGGAATCCCCATGCTCACTTCCCCCCCCCCCCCCCCTGTGCCAACTCCTAGCCCTGTAGGTGAACTCTGCAAAAAAATCGATAAAAATCGGTAAAATCGACATCGATCGATAACGAAAAGTGGACTGTGACACCCGCCGGGGCCCGAAGTGTATGTGCGCCAAGTTTGGTCCGGATACGGCGAAACCGGGTAAGCCAGCTAGTATGGGTTATAAAAATGTGCAAACGACTTGTTTATTTTTATAAATAATTAAAATAATTTTTTAAATTTTTCAAAAATTCAAATTAGCCTTAGAAAAGTTTTGAAAAGCACGCCTCCCACCGCTCGTCCTCTAGAGGCACGCCGTCCGATTGCTAGAGATATAAAGCGGGCGAGCGGAGTACCTTTAACGGGCGACCGTCATACTTCCCTCCACTATCCCGCTAATAGTACTATGCTCGTCCGCTCGTACATCAAACCGGACGGGTGCCTTCAGCGGGCTACTAATCATCTTCCCGTCTCCGGCCCTTTCTTTACAGAACTACAAGGATCCGACAGCCTGCTGCCTACCGTTTATAGTCTGCAGCTTTGGCTACAGACACTAATCTGATTCCTACAACGTATTCTAATGGTCAATTTATTAGGACGCGTAAGCAACAACGCAAACGCAGAAAACGACAAGTGATAGTCCAGCCACTGTATATGAAACAAGGCAATGGTAGTTGATGTGGATCTGCTTTTACGTTCGGTGGAGGTGAACAGATATCGTAGAATCCCTAAAAGGAACTTAATGGTATATACGGAGTGTCCCAAAAAAATGTTTAGAACGTTTGATCGTTAATATCTCCCTTCCCAAGAAGTCTTTTGCCTTGCTTCAGGTACCGTTTTGTAGAGCTGGCTTCAACTTAGATTTCCATTATAGAACGAATCACCCATCTCTCTTCATTACTGTAGGGTTACGGTGAAAACTTCAAAGAGGGTTTTGAACCATGAAAGGCCATATTTTGCCTCAGAAAGGAAATAAAACAGTCTAAAAACTTTTACACAAAGCTAATTGGAGTCGCTGATTCTAATTGTGAAGTTCCCAACTTATTATGATGTTTCATTGAAGAGTTATGCCAGGTGAGAGGTAGCGGCCTTTTTTTCAATGTTCCTAAAAAGTGCGATTATACCGTTTAGAAAGCTTCGTAATCTTGTGAATAGTTGAGTATTGAACTCAGCGTCTATAAAAACCCTATTACACAAGTTTTCACAATTTTTTGAAAAATTTTGAAACGGCAACTTTTTCCACATTGACACCATATGTTTCAAGTTTCTACCGTAATCCTACAGTAATGAAGAGAGATGGGTGATTCGTTCTACACTGCAAATCTAAGTTGAAGCCAGCTCTACAAAAAGGTACCTGAAGCAAGGCAAAAGACTTTTTGAGAAGAGAGATATTAACGATCAAACGTTCGAAACATTTTTTGGGACATCCTGTATAATAGTTTTCAAAATTTCATTACTTTTATTGATTTTATCGATTTTTTTGCAAAGTTTGAGCTACGGGGCTGGGAGTTGGCACAGGGGGGTAATCGAGCATGCTGATTACGAGTACAATATTAGTTTGGCACTATTTGGCTATCCGGGCCCTAAAATTTTTTTGTCGTAGAGCTTGCTCAAACTTCGTATATAAGGGTTATCTTACATGCTGAGAACAGATATCACACTTTCTCCGCCAAAAGTCTCCCCGTGTAGTTACGATAGGTGTACGATAGGAAGTCAAAATCATGAATTCGGCTAGAGTTTGGTCCAGAGAACTTATTCGACATGCTGGTTACGAATTTCGTACTCTCTCTCTCTCTTTCTCTTTCTCTCTCTGCACATTGGGACCTTTTTATAAAGTGCATGTAGAAGTGGGCACAGGTAAAGGTGTACAGGGAAGAAATGGAACCTTTATTGTTTTTGGCAGAGCCGGGCGGAGCCGGGTATGCCAGCTAGTACCTTTATAAGAAACGCTTATCTGCTTTTTTATCACTTGAAAATACTTCCATGCGTATTTCGTTCTCGAGAATGTGTTTTTATAGGTGATTCCGCAGTTTCAACTGGTTTGGAAGCGATAGGGCTCTATCTATCTTATAGATGCTTAGTGAAGTCAGCACTAGAAAAAAATTGAGTTTTGTTCAAACACCCGACATGGACCTAACAGCGAGCCTGCGCCCAAATTTGGCCTTCATGGTTTACGCTGCTTTTGTAAGCTCAAAATAATGTAGAAGCATCATTTACGTAAAAAGAAGTTTGTACACTATGCTCACGATTGCTCGCGAAGTCGCATTTTACTTCGTTTTCAAAGCATAAGTCTCGCGATTTAATGATATTGTTAGGCAGTTTTAAATTACTTACCAAGTGGTAAGTGATTTAAAGTTGCCTTTAATTTAAATTAACTTTCCTGATTTATTGCGACTATTCAGTTGCTAAATAGTGAAAACACCGTATAATGTATGTTGCCTTGTGACCCACATGAACATGATGGTCAGAGCAAGAAATATCTTCAAGGCTTGTTGCAAATCAGTTTTTGCAAGATGAACTTTTTGATTAGCCTGCATGTTAGGATCTGTAGAGATCTGCAACCACTGGCTCATTTTGCATGATTAACGCGCAATTATGTAAAGATCGTTCCTTGCTGGCAAACGAGGGGGCATGGGTACTTCTCCATAGAGTCTATGCTAGCACAAGATAATGTGCAGCCGAGATGCAAGTCATGCAAGCTTATCATCACATTACTACTACATTACTTTTCTTAGTAAGTCGTTTAGACTGGGCTTAGGACGACGTGGTGATTTGGTATTTGTTGCTGTTGTGTTCCATGTATGACTAACACTTTATTGTTTTTGATTTGGAACGCCTCGAGCGTATGAATGAAATGAAATGAAAAATGAAGGTGATTCAACGAACTAATGTTATGGATTTTGCAGTACTCCCTGCTTCTGGTATACTGTACATCAATCTAGTGCTTTTATTGGTCACTAACTATTTTAGTTCAAAATATTCTTGAATTGTTATGTTGCACGTTATCAGTCATCAGCAAAGTAGAGCAAGAGGTGTGGGACAAACCGCCGGATATTACCCCCCTCACCTCTGTGTGACACCCTCCCCCTCCTCCATCATTATCATTTGCCTAACGCAGGCATGACATAAAGGCTCAATCAAGCATAATAATTAATAACATATTCGTAATTACCATTCAAATAACCCTCAGGGCCTAGTTTTGGCGAATTCTGAGGGTTCCCCATAGGCCACCTAAGTGAGGTGGTCATTGTTAAAAATGGCTAGCTAAAATTAAGAAGTGAACTACTACCTGTTTTTACTTATTATAAAGCACTACTCCTTATTTGCCCATCTTATGAATCCTACTTCAAATAATCACCAAACTATGGAATGAAGAGCCAGCCAATATCTTGTACCATTTTTCGATTACAGTGGTTGTGCTTCCAGCAACTACTACTCAAAACAGAGAATACATGTTTAGCTCTAAATACTCCCACAAAACACGAGATTCTAGCTGTTGAACTGTATATTATTTGTTCGCATTCTGTTTGGAGGTAAGTTAATGGGGGTATAGCATAGCACAATCCCAGAAAAGCTGTGTGGCTGCCACACCTTTTTAGGGGTTGTGCCAGACCCCATTAACTTACCTGCAAAGCATTTGAATGTCGATGTATTCTTATAACATTGATAAACTTTCTTTTCCATACGGTAGAAAATTTCGCTCAAAGTCGTTTCCCTAGGAAAATATGTAATCGTTTTTCCCCTATGCAAATGGAAAATAGTGCAAGAATTTTGATTTACGGTAACACGCTAAGTCTGCGCTACTACGTGAATTGTGAGGGAAGGCGGCAAGAATAAGTACCCTAATTTTACGCGTATAGGAAGCGGGGGATTTTTTTTGACTCATACAGCACAGATACGACGGAGGACTTCGCGACCAAAAAACTACTTACAGTGCTGCATATTGCCTGAGAATATCTTGCGGCATAAGTCTCATTTTCCTAAACACAACGAGCCGGCTGAGCGGCACGCTTGAAAATCGAAAAAGGTGTGTCTTATACGCGTGAAATTATGGTATATTCGATAGCCTAAGCCCCGTGATCACAAAAGTGATTTGAGCGTGACTGCTTTACTCTAGTCTGAAATTGTGAGCGGAAAATGGGACAAATAAGATTTTGGATTTCTCTTGATTCCATAAACTGTTAAGCATCGCATTGAAACCTTAACCCACATTTTTTCTGTAATCGCTCTATACGTTGCGAGCGACTGAACGAAAAAAGTAGCGGTTCGCTTTCAGATAGGTCGCATATATATTCATGCCATTTATGGTTGATGTTTTTCCAACTAAAGACGAAATCTTGCGAAATGAAGGTGATCTGTTATGTCAACTATGCGGAAAAAGGTTAGTCTTGTAATTCTTATATCATTATAAAGCAACGAAATAAACTGATATGCCATGGATTATTTCAACTGCAGTCTGTAGTCATAAAGATCATGATGCATTGCATAGTACTAGGTTCAAAAAAGTTTGTTTCCTTCCTCCGAAAACACTGAAATTCGGCGTAGTCTCGTAAGTTTTTACTAGGAATAAGAAAAATCGCCATCCAGTGGCATCGGTTCTTGGGTGAAAGGTGTCTGTAAGGACATGAGGAGTAAATATGAAAGCTCTGTAAGGGCACAACCTTTATCTGCCGCATTCTTTGAAATTTTCCCATTCTTTTTTCATGTTTTTGGATTTTTCGTGTTTCCGGGATAACACTTGTACGAAAGTTTCAAAGTTCAAAGTCTTCAATAACGGAATATTGAAACTTGCCTATTCTAAAAATTTGGGAGTAAGATTTTTTGTGTGACATATATCGAAAGTATACTCCTTTAGTATACTCCAGCCAATAAACTGTTAACGATTTCGGATCACGGCTCAGTATCTTAAACAACAATATACTCCTTTACTACTTACAATGAGGAATGTTTCGAAAGTAAGAATTTCTTTTGTTCTGCTGATATCTATCATAGCTCGGTTTGGAAAATTGAAGCCTCTTCTCCCCTAAAGCCAGTCTCCAGGGATGCGTGTACTTCCCATGCGACGTTGGCACTGTCGAATATCCGGAATTGCTTTTGAACCTTGTCCAGCACTGTACTCGAGGGCGCTGATTGGCCCACCCGGAAAGGATACAGTACGGGCGAGATTGATGTTATATCTTGGTATCGAATAAATCACATGAATATTCATTTGGGCAGTGGTTTAATGGGCCCCTCAGATAGCTTCCACATAAAAGAGGACTGCTCTTATCTACTGCTGTCTTTCCAAATGAAATCAGTGTTTTATCAAAAAACTTGTTTGGATGAACTATTCAACATTGCAGGTTCTCCAACATCTCCGCTCGACGGTTGCATACAGTAAAAACGCACGGAATTCTTTCATGCGAAAGCGACAGAAGAATTTATGAAAAAGTTCGCGATGGATGTTGTGAGTTCATTCACTTTGATTATCCAAGTGTTAGGATAGAAATCCTCAACATTTAGCCCGTACATATATTTATCATTGCCCTGCTGAGCCATGTCGCAAGAAATCGCTGCGTTTCAATGGAATGAGGAATTTGAAGCAGCACTATATACGGGTAGGTATTGGTCTTCAAAGCAGTCATGACAAAAGGATGTGAAGAACCCTTCTGCATACAGTATGCTACCGTAACCAACGGTAGCATACTGTGGTGCCAATTGAAAAAAAATGTCTCGAATCAACGACCCACGCATACTACATTGGTATGCTACCAGTTTTTCTAATCTACCAAGAAAGTGAAAGCTGGTATGTAAAGCCTGCGATGCTGATTACAAACGGATGTGTAAGCGTCGCTTGGGACGAGAGAGACGCAGATTGCGCCGCGCGTGCGAGCGGTCGCCTTGCCGCCAGTCCCTTGAGTTAGAGGGTACACGTACTAGTTCCCCATGGATCCACAATTTTGCGAGTTCCTCAGGAAATTCGTGATGATTATTGCTGGTATCACATTTGAGATACGTAGCTTATTGTTAGAAGCAATAATTTCTTGAATACAATATGTTTTCCAAGCGTTTCCTTGCCTCTTTTGCTAAAAATCTTATTGTCCTTTTTTGGCTTGTGGTTATAGGTTTATCTGAGATACGGAAACCCTTTTGAAAGAAGAAGTTATACCCTAATTTCACGCGTACAAAAGCACCTTTTTCGATTTTTCAAACAAGCCGTTCAACCGCTTCAATATGTTTCGGAAAGCGAACCTTAAACCGTTCAATTCTCTCAGGCAATACGGAGCCCGGTATAGGGCTACTTGTTCGCGAAGTGTTGTGGCGTGTTTGGGCTGGCGGATTTTAGAATAAAATCCCCTGCGCCGTGTACGCGTGAAATTAAGGTAGTTTATGAGGTACGCGTATTGATACTGTAGAGCTTTTTTTGCGCAAAGAGATTAACTATCAAATCGTCAGTAAAGCCCAGTTTGATGACTTCATGCTGCACAGAGAATGTTCAACGCTTTTCAACAGTAGGTATATGTCATAGTTCAGTCGGGAATTAAAGTATGAAAGTCACTCATCGATTTTTTTGCCTTCTTTCTGAAAGAGTTCAGTAGGATACTGTAGCGGCATTTGAGCAGTTTTTCTGTACAATATTGTTGCAAATTTTTTCTTCGGTTAAAACTGTCTTGTGTGAAAAAAATAACAGTCCAATATAGTGCAGGCTGAAAAATCCAGTACTGCTCAATTTTTTTGGAGGAAAATCAATCTTTTCAACGACTTCTTGAAAATTGTTGTCAGGTACATGTCTGAGGAGGAAACTCGTTCGATACCCGCTCCTATGCAATGGCCAGACAAAGTAAATTTTTCTTTTTCAGGTACATACGCCCAAAAACATCCTATGCAAATGCGGTTCTGCTTTTGCACTCCGAAAAGATCTGCTGTATCATCAAAGTAAACGATGTCTTCTAGGAGAACGGAAAAGAAAAGGAAAGAAGTGTGAGTGCATTGCAGTTCTGTTGCGTTTTGATTTTTGCTTTATTTTCTTCCCTACATATAAACCTTGTCTTCATGTTGCAATATTCAAAGAAAACTAGGTTTGACCAGTGAAAGCAGCATAAGGGCGTTGAGAATGGTTAGATTCCTCGAGCGTTGCGCAGGACTCGGCACGACCTGTCACCCGGGTAATTTCACGAAGTCCCCTTTAAACCTGAAAAATTTTCGAACAAATTCTTCTTTGATCCTAAACTCTACGCGTAAAACACTCCATAAACGAAACGTGGACTAAAAAAGTCGCAATTTTTGTGCCTTTCGGCCACAAAAACCATATCCAGCTTGACTCATGCCAGCTGTGCCGAGCCCTGGCATCGCGTAATAGTCGTCGGGAAGTGTGGCCAATATGCTGTTGTCTTGGGGTTACCGAAATAGCGAAAAGGCGAGAAAGGGCATTGCTATAGAATTGAGCGTTTCAAGAATTTAGAGGCATGTCTTGAAAAAAAAACACGTCTATGAGGTGAAATCATTCGAGAACTTCACATGTTGCGCAGCCAATAGCCTTGGAAAGGCTGAGGCAGCTTCGATATGCTGGATGTAGAAGTATGATCTATTTTACAATAAAAAGATTGCACATAATGAGCAAAAATATACAGGGTGTCCCAAAAAATGTGCCGACTGTTTGATTGTAAATAACTCTCTTGTAATGAAGTGTTTCGAGAAGCTTCAGGTACCATTTTGTAGATCGAGGTTAAACTTAGATTTACAGTATGGTAATCATCTATCGCCCTTCATTATTGTAGGATTACGGTACGAACTTCGACAAGGATTTTGGGCCATTGGAGGCTAAATTTTGTCTCGGGACAAAACCAAACAAGCTAAAAACTCATATACTACGGTAATGAGAGCTGATTTGGAATCTGAAATTTTCACTTTACTGTGATGCTTCTTTCCAAAGTTATCCCGGGTAAACCGTAATAATTGAATTCCCAGTACTTGTCAGAAATGTGATTACACCGTCAAAAAAAGCTGAAAACACTCGTAAGAAGTTGTTAGGTGGAATCAGCATGTGCGAAAACCCTAGCACACGTTTTTTCAGATTTTTTGAAAAGAATTATGTTAGGCGATATATTTCACAATTTTCCCATATGCTGGAAGTTTGTACCGTAATCCTACAGTAATGAAGGGCGACAGATGATTCGCTCCATACTGTAAATGTAAGTTTGACTTCGCTCTACAAAATAATACCTAAAGCGTCTCGAAACACTTCATTGCAAGAGAGTTATTTACAATCAAACAGTAGGCACATTTTTTTGGGACACCCTGTATTGTGGAATTATTCTGTTACCACAACCATTTCGTTCCAATTTTCTTACCCGTAAAGCGTTGAAGCATTTGCTACATATAATTATTCTTGAAGAGTTTATATCTGCTTGCTTTTATACACACTCGACAAGATGATTCGAGTAAGTTCAAATCTTTGCATATTACTCTTATACGTTCTGTTTCTCAACGTAAACACTATAATTCATTCTGTGACTAAGAGACACGAGCACGCTTTGCGTACTTCTGATTAACAAGTTTACAAGTGCGTTTTAACTCGTTTTGGTAAAGTACTGTTGAAAATTTGGAAGAACATGTTTGAACTGGTGTTGTTCAACCTTGCTCGAATATGTTCTCGCAAGAACTTAATAGTAAAGCAACCAAAACGCGTTAGAAGTCACTTATGAACTTGACAATCAAACTTACGCAAAGCGTGCTCGCGTCTCTTATTGTTAGTCAGAAAATGAATAGTATCATCGGCTCCCAGATTGTGGAGGCGTGCGGACTTTCCTGATTGTTAGAATAAACCTGCTAAACCTCCACGTTATAGCATTGTATCTCGTACTCTCTCGTCAAGCTTATCCTTAAAATCAAAGCAGTCCGCAACCCGCCACCACACGAATCTGGGAGCCGATCATACATTTTTTCTAGACATTGAAGTAGATCTGGATACCGTAATCAGTCGGTACATTCTTTCACAAAACATTTATACGTTTGCAAATTCCATGTTAGTGTTTTCCATTTTATCTTTTTAACAGTCTTTGGTCAAGAGTACAGCAGCCATCAGGTGACCTCTAATAGTGTGCAACGGAAATCTCTACTAGAAAGTGCAATATCGTTCTTGAAAGCCTAGGTCGCGCGGAATCACAAAAAGACGGCAAATATTGTATTCATAGAAACTGGATGAGAGCTTTTCAGTTCCGTTTTAAAATTCTACGTGATTGGTTGGTGCTAGGTAGGGCGTTTTAGAATTGGTTAGACACCTTCCTTAATCGGTAATCGCCTAACAGGTGAGTTGGAGGGGAAAGGCAGGTCAGTATTCATAGTCTTCATCTAAAACCAATATTCAAGCACAGAGATACTTTGAAAATTGGATCTCTTCCCATGATAGCTGTTCATTCCTCATGTGTGTACCATGATAAAACAGATTTGACATCTGACAAAAGTCTGCCCTAAATGATTATCAACGCCATCCCATACAATTATGCTTACAAAATAAATCTTTGTTCTTTTCTTACTTCAACAAACGCTAATTTTTGAGAAATTTCTTTTGAATAAAGATCTTCGATTCTAAGTTTTTTTTTGCTTGAAAGGAAATAGGTAATATTAGGTTGTCCCAAAAGTAAACTCCTTTTTGAATAATTCAAGCTGTTTTTGCTTTACTGGTAGATTTTGGGTATCATTCGATAGAGCAGATCAAGCTCTACAAAAAGACCACCAAGGGCCCGCCTAAGCATTCCATGGAAAGTTTGAAGCCAAAATCGAAAAAAATTTTGTTACTTAAAAACTGGATTTTCGCGAGGAAAAGCCCTACGGATCTCTAACTGGTCATTATACAGTAGGCGTATAGTAGTACTCAAATATGCTTTTGCCGAATTTTTTCCGAGCATAGAAAGTGAGAAACAGAAATTGTCCAAAAGTGGCAAACTCCGCCCCCAGCCCCTCCCACATATGTCATTGTATACTACAAGCCTTACTAAGTATGATTCCAAAACTTACAACTGTAGGTGCTCTTATAATCGAGAAATACCAAGTTTTACATAAAAAAAACCGAAAAAAGTGGCATTTTGGCCTTTTGGGACCCTATTTATTTTTCAATTTTGAGCTTCGGAAAAAATGCACCGAATACATTTTTGAGTACTACTATGTGTCTACTATATAAAGGCCTAGTTGGAAGTCCGTAGGAATTTTCTCGAAGGAGATACGATTTTTAGGGTAGCTGAAAAAGTTTGATTTTTGACCCCAAATTTTGCCTGGATTACGACTTAGGTAGGTCCTTGGTGATCTTTTTGTAGAGATTGCTTTGCTCACCTCAAATTTTACAAAAATGGGGCGTGGTGGCAGTTATACCCCCGAAGAATACTTTTTTACAATGCTAATTTGAATTTATTTCAAAAAGGTTGAAATTATTTTGATTACACATAATTGAGTCGCCTGCCCTTGTAAGTGACTTTCAAAATTTTCGCTACCCATTCGGAGGGGGGGGGGGCTTGATCCGCCATCGCCACTGATACATATGCCTTCAAAATAGGTGTAGTTGACCGCACGGAATCGCCCGGATTAAGCGCACGCTAGCGTGTCTCTTGCGCGCTAACATTGGCATTCGGGCGCATGAGCCATCATAGCGCCCGTACTCGCTAGCCTCGTTGCAGGCACGCTCGCGCGCGTTCAGCCTACAGCAACCCGAGCGATTTCGTGCAGGCGACTTTATGCTTCAAAATTTAATGAGCTCAAATGATTGTTTTTGCTCCAGAAAATTGAAAATTTTTGCAAAGCTAAATTGAATGCAAAAGGATCAAAACTTAACTGAATAAGCTACAACTGATAACCATTCTTTTGACATTTTTATCATTCTCGAAAGTTTTTTTGGAGCCTATGTAGCGTGAACCTCTTCTATAAAATCAGCATTAATTTTTTCACAAATCTATATAACTTGAACTTTTTCTTAAAAAATCAGTCTGTCATCACATTATATTATTGTATAATATTAACATTCGAAGAAGTTACTTGCACAAAAGTTGTTTGAGTCATGAAATTTTTCATCTCCCCTCTGCGCTCCTTCCGCTAGGTGCTAGGCAAGATAAAAAATCATCCCTACCTTTACGCAACATTGAATTGTCCGTCTGCAAATGCAGATTTCTGAAGTGCTTCTCCCATGGGATTGCCTTTCCGCTCATCCTCACGCCCAAACCGCCCAAATTTAATTGGGCAAGGTCTTTATTGTGCAGCGCGCGGCTTGTATCCGGACGCATGTGAACGACGTTGTTTTTGTGTGTTATCTGATAGCTGCGCTGCGCTTCGAAAACGAGTCCGAACGACCTTTACGAATTCGAATGTGATCGTTGTGCGTCGCTCGCATTACGCGGCTACGATTTCGAACTTTGTGACTTCGATAAGATGTTCCGGACTGCGCTTATCGTGAGAATGGGATAAGGTGAAAGTAAACTCGATGTTCTACTTTTTGTTAGGTTTGTAAGATGTGCATTAGCACTTATGGGCTGGGAACAATGTGGGATCTTTTAGCTTGTCTGGGAGTGGGACTCTAGGGCAAAAAACATTGGTCATGCTTGGTTTTGCTTATTATCGTTGAACAGAAAAAAAATGCTATTCTGAAAAATTCTTTCCGAACTAATTGTCTGCCTACAATTTTCGAAATTTTATTTTTATTTTGTATACGTTAACTAAATCGTTTGAAGGTAGGAAATTTATAATAAACGGTTTTTATATCAATAGCAATTCTGAATTTAAAATTAGTAGATATGTATATGCAGTTTCATTTTTTCTCTTATTTTCAATTGAGGGTTCCACAGGTTGCAATGAGAAAAAGATCAGAAGCACAGATATTTTGATTCCGCGGTCCTCAAGAATTGTGGGACCTTTTGGGAAAGCAATAAAGATTAGAATCTTAAAAAAATGCTATTAATCATTTGCATCGGTTTTTACATCTGTTAAAAATTCCATTCCGAGATAACTCTCTCCCTACAATTTTTTTGTTCGTCATTAAAGTCGTTTGGAGGTGGGAAACTTGTAAAAAATGTTTTTTTATTGATAGAAGTCATGAACATGGAATGAGTAGATATGTATTTGGGATTTTATTTCATTTTTTTATACAGTTGAGAGTTTCACAGGTTGCATTGGAAAATTCTGAAGGCAAGAATTTTTTCCAATTTTGAGAGTCATAAATCGTAGGATTTTATAGAAAAACAAAAAGAATTTGTAAGCTTTTAGAAGAACAAAAGATTTCCACCGGTTTTCCTCCAGACAGCACTAGGAAATTGTTTATTTCCGCCGTTAGAACTTCGATTGTCCTCTGCTGGTTTTCTTAAAGGAAATGCTGGTTCTCTCAGCTGAGAACAAGCTTATCCGGTCTAACGAAGCTGAATTGGGTAAATGCGAAGACATAAAAATCAAATTGCCCATTTTCGAATTTTCTCAACTGCCCACCTCCTATAGCTGGAACCCGAAGGTGAATGGTTGTTTGATAGTTGGGTTGTGAGTAATTAGACCTGAAGACAATACTTAGCCATATAAAAATTGCAAATCAATTTTTTCTCTTGTTTTTTTTCGCTTGAGAGGCAAGAAACTCTTTGTCGGGATAAGGAAAACTTTCCTTTTCTCTTTGAAATCCTGCAGTGGAATCTTGCAGAGACTGGAGAGAAGAGGAATCTGGTAATTCTATGGGAACAAGTGTAGGAAGAAAATGTCGAAGAAGAGGTCTTGGTATATACTACAATTTAGTGATCTAAACCGCTTTTTGGAGCTTTTTCTACTCATCTCAAACCTATTGAACACCGAATATAGATTCTGTTACGAGTTTGAAATTTCTTTTATTGCATGAAAGTTGTTGACATGGTTATGTGTCCCTAAGTTTCTACTGCTGTATTTTTAACAAAACTTCCTGGGCATCCGACACCTTTAGCCTTTTTTCGAGCAATTGACATTTTCATCAACTCATAACCTCTTTACGGCACCAAGTAAACGCATTTTCTAAGGCAATTACCGATCATCTTATAACTTTTCTAAAGTTGCAGCAAGGATGAGTAAATGTGACCGTCTCATGCCGATCTAGGCACAGTGGGGCGTTTCACTTTTTTTACTGGGAAAGCCGAGAACGATAAATCCAGTGAAGGTTCTTTTTATCTGAGACATTACAATGGAACATAACCTCGACTTCACATGCGGCCTGAGCCAGGATTCGGCACAGGTGGCTTATAAGCAAGCTGGATATCGTTTTTGGGACCAACAAAGGGGATATCATCTGTGGCCGAAAAACACAACTTAGATTACGTTTTTTTAGTCGACGTTTCGTGTTTTAGGGGTTTTTTTACATTTATGGTTCAGGTTCAAAATGGACTTCGTAAAATTTTGGGAAGGCCAAGCGGGACTTCGTTTTTTGCATTTTTGGAAAGCCACCTCGTCCGAGCCATGGTCTGAGCATTCATACGTCAAATCTGAGAATTCTTGGTCTTTTTTGGTCTTGACAACTACAACAAGTGTGGACGGGGAGGACGCAAGTATTGCTGATAGTAGTGAGATTATTTTGACACCGGGAGAAGGAGAGGGGTATGTGGGGGAGGGGGGGGGGGGGTAGCGGAGCGAGGCTCTTTTTTAAACACCCCATTAGCTGCGCATTGGATTAAAGATTTTGTATTGAAATAGAAGCACTGTTATACGTATATGGATGTGAAAAATATAAAGATTTTTTCTGTCATGTACAAGATCTCAGGACGAATAAGAGTGAATCGTAATTTTCTTCCGGGAAATTATTCTTTTTTACTTGGTCTCAAAATACGACAAACCTTCAGCATGTTTTGAAAAGAGGTTCTGGTTGATAGAGTTGATTTATTTTTTCTTGTATTGAGGTATCTGCGTTCAGGGACCCGTCTTTTCCTTATTTGTCTATTAGTCACGTTTGGCCACATAGAGGAAGCAATGTCCAACCGAAAGCTCAGTTTTTTCGGAAGTGGTTAATTCGAAATGATCAATAGAACTTGCTGCAAACAGTTTATCTCATAAGCGAACTGTCAAAAAAACGCATCTATCTGCTCGATCGCTAAATGTAATTTTATATCCTTGAGACTCGCTTGTATGGTTGCATCATTTCCCTCTCTTCCACAGCTGACGTTCTTGGTGGACATGGGCAATACGCAGCATCGGACCCAGGAAGTCCAACATCGCCTTGCATTCCTGGCATTCCATCTGGTCCTTGCGGACCCGCCATTCCTGGAGGACCCATTTCTCCGGGCATTCCAGTATCTCCAGGTGCACCGTCCATTCCGGGCATTCCCGGATTGCCAATCATTCCCGGCATTCCTGGCATTCCAGGTGCTCCTGGAGCGCCACGTCCACGCATGCCATTCCTGCCTGGCATGCCAGGTGTTCCATCGTAGCCTCTTGGCCCCTCCTCTCCGGGATCTCCTTGCGGGCCCTGCGGTCCTCTCATGCCGTCCATTCCAGGCCGACCTGCCATACCAGGTAGTCCTTCCATGCCCTGCGGTCCTTCTATTCCATCAGGTCCTGGTGGTCCTGGTGGTCCCGCTGGGCACTGTACGCAGCCGGTAGGTGAGTGCGTGTTAATGATGCTGATACCGGGAGTGCCAGGACGGCCAGGTTCGCCGGCGGGACCATCTTCGCCCGGCTCACCGGGTTCGCCAGGTGGACCAGGAGGACCGGCGGGGCAGGCGCTGGCCGTGACATCGCATGCGCAGATTACGTTTGCGGAACGTTTGGCCCTTCCAAATATGGTTCCGAACTGTTGTCGTCGAGAATATCCACCGCCATACTGGGGTACCATGTCTCGCCATGCTTCATTAGCCAGAGACTGAAATATGGAAGATTATGCGCTTTTTCCAAGAAAAGAAAGGTAAAATTACCTTAAACTGCTTCATGTCATCCATAACATCATCATAAAGATTGTTGATATCCTGAAGAAGTACTCCAACAGCGATCAGACATAAAAATATCACAACAGCCGATGCAGCAGAAGCGGCAGTAACCACAAATCGAATGCAACTCATTTCGATGTCACTTTGCTGCTTCAGACAGCGAACCCTTTCCTATTTATACCCAAACTGGGCCCCGTCGGCGAAATGCTAGTTTCAAGCCCGACCAGATGTTTTTGTTTCGAAACGATTACAGAAGCGTGTCCAGCTTCAGAGCCGCCGCCGCCCCTACCCCACCCCAATAATGATCGCATTCGCCCGTTGATCCGGTCGTATGAAAGATTAGAAGGATGAGAAGAACGATGATGATGACACAAGGTGCAACAATCCGGTAGATGCCGACACAATTTTTTTGTTTTCAAAACTCGTTAGCAATTCACTCGATGTACCGGTTCGACTGAAGAGATGTTATCAAAAACGAAATCGTTCGTATTTAAACCGGTGGAGAGGTGTGAGTTTCCTCAGTTGGACTGTGTGTATAACTTTGCTAGGTTCCAACGACTCTGTGAGGGTTTGGGTTTGCTGAGTATTATTTTCTGGATTTTCATTAAATATATTTATATAGTGTTTGACGAGGCAATGGGGAATTTTGGATCGAAAAAGTTCAGAAATTTACAAGATGTGTTCTTTTATATAAACAATTAGGAAATTAGAAGCTGCTTCCTCCCTGGCTGAGCTAAAAATTTCTTGCCCAAAAAAGTTCATTGAATTTGTTTCTGAGCGGAATGACCAGGGTGTCACCGCTTGACCTGATGTGTTACCTGAAGCGCGACCAGCTGAGGTTGATATATTTTTGCTTTTATAAAGCATGTGGGTTAGAATTAACGCTTCACAATTCCTAGGTACGACTTTGAGTTGCTCTGAACCTTTATACCTCTCGTGTAACCCTCAATTTTCTGTTCTTTGCTAAAAAATGAAGACAACATATGATGGAGCAAAAAAACTTTATTCTCTTCTAGTGAGGTATGTGTGTAAAGTCTAGAAGATCGTTTAGATCTTGGAGAAACGGCGTCTGTAGCCACCCTGAGACTGTGGGCTCGATTCCACATTGGCGGTACGTGGTGGGCATGGGCAGTAGGCGGCATCGGATCCAGGAAGTCCTGGTCCTCCTGCGGGTCCTTCTTGTCCGGGTGCTCCGGGCTGTCCTTCGTTACCGGCTGGTCCAGCAGGTCCTGGTGCTCCGGGTTGTCCAGGTGCTCCAGGCTGTCCAGGTGCTCCGGCTTGTCCCTGTGGTCCCTGAGGTCCGGCGGGTCCTTGTGGTCCTGGCTTTCCACGTCCGCGTTGTCCATTCTTTCCTGGTGCGCCAGGCGATCCAGCTGGTCCAGCTGGTCCAGCCTCTCCAGCATCTCCGACCGGTCCTGCTGGTCCCGGTTGTCCATTCTGACCGGGTGCTCCAGGTGCTCCTGGTTGTCCATCGGGTCCGGCTGGTCCGGCTGGTCCATCAGGTCCTGGTGGTCCAGGTGGTCCGGCTGGGCACTGAATGCAGCCGGGTACTTCTTTGGGTGAGAATAGGGAAATTCCGGGGAGTCCTGGCTTTCCATCATCTCCCTTAGGTCCATCGTCTCCAGGCTTTCCAGGTGGTCCTGGTGGTCCTGGTGGTCCCGGTGGGCAGTTGTTAGGCTGAGAGCCGCACTGGCAGCTACCGGCAGCACGTTTGTCACGTCCGAAGATAGTTCCGGCAATGTCGCTCATCTTGGATGATGGGGTTGGGATGACCATCTCTTTCCAGGCTTCATTGGCAATCATCTGAAATAGGTAGTATAGGGGTTACAAGTAGCCCTCAAGGTATAAAAGTTAGAAAAATTAATAAAAGTGCAGCAAACAGTTCCTACCTTGAATTCTTGCATATCATCCATAACATCGTCGTAGAGATTGTTGATATCTTGGAAAAGCATTCCAACACAGATCAAACTGGCGACGATCACAAGCGCTGAAGCGCCAGAAGCGACGGTAACGAAGAACTTAGCGCTCATTGCTGAGGAACTATTGTGGCATGAACAATCCCAGATATTTATATATTGAAAAGTGGGCGTGACAGTGGCGGGTGTGTACGCCACGCATGACCCTGTAAACCGCCCGATAAGGCCCCCAAGGCCATGCGCACTTTACAAAATTTTTGCGAAATCACACATCGACCGGACGACACTTCACGGGTGTCCGTCGCTGCAACCCGTGTTGTTGTTGAGAGAAAGAGAATGGCATCGTAAAAGTGAGAATAGCGATGGAATTGTAAATTGACACACGCAACTGGAGGCCATAGAAGATGATTTTGGAGCAGATAGAAATGAGATGGAGTTTAATACCTTGTTTACGTCAAAACAGCCTGATGGACATGTAGCACTTTTGAGGTTAAGCGGATCTATTTTCCCAACGTTGCGTTTTGGTAAACCATACTTACCAATTTTGCAGATTTATACCGTATACCATAGCCTGTGAAGTCCTAGAGCTCTCAAGAGAGATGTAGATTTCTAAAGCAACCTAGTCTTTCCACGTTCAATTTCCATTTCAGTACTAACGAATTCTATGTTGTGCGGCTTGTCCTAAAAGTTTCCAATTTTTTTTGAAATCGAAAATTATTGGGTTCGTATTCCTGTTCTCAAAGAAGATTCATGTTCTCGAAGAAGTTGGAAGAAGTTCGAGAACATTCAAAACAGTGGGAATTTAGCTTTGTAGTTTTATGAGAACCATTTTGGACCTACTGGGTACTTAAAATGAATTTCAAATAAAAATTGTGAGTTGAAGGGATACGGTATTTCTATTGAACCATTGGAAGTAATAACGTTTTGGAGAAAAAACCGCATATACTGCAAAAGTTGACTTATTTTGAGGGTTCATACTTTATAGGTTGAGATAAAGCTCTGTAATCAAAATTTTAAGAAATTTTGGGATTTCCTGCAAAAATTCCCATCTAACTCTGCACTCAGAATTGCAGGAAGTACCAGTTCATAGTCCAGTCTGTGCTAAGAACATTCTGAGTACTTATTGTAAAGTTCCAACGTAATCACTCAATTTGCAAACGGCATCTTATTGCCGTTGCAAATTTGATTATCAAAAGGCTGGTTGGATCAAGTGGGAGAGATTAAGGTTTACGCCATTTTGCAAAAATGATTTTTTCTCAAACGATTGAAGGATGAAAAGATGCTCCAATCTGTGCAAAATATTACTGATCGTAAGCGACACTTTGAGAAAAGGAATTATAAAACTTTTTAAATCACACTGGCCCTTTTATCTCATTGTCGGCTACAGTTCAGCCATTGGCAGAGAAATATGTGCAGTGCAGAACACGCGTTTTATTTTGCGACCTTTGTGCTTATAAACTGCAGGATTTCAAAAATTCTTTTTGCTTCTTTCTTTTTGATGCTGTATAGGTGGTACTGACAGATGAAAATGACGCCCTCGTTATTATTCTCGCAAAAACAATCATTATCTGAAGTTCAGATTTTAGTCGTCAGATAGGGCGCGTAGTGTGCAGTTTCACGTAGTCATTTACAGATATCCACACTATAAAATAGCTTCTCAACTTTCCCATAATTCATCAACTGGCATTTTTTTCAGATCGCGTTACTTATCCGATATCCATGCTCTATTATCCCAGCTCTCAACCACTTTTTCGCACACTTCTGGACCAAAACTATCAATCATGTATAAAATGAAAAAAATTGTATATTCCGCTAAGAGCGGGTTCTAAGCCCATTTATCCCGTTTTTCCAACTCCTGTCTTGCACGATAAGAATGAACATTGGATTATCTCACTTGATGTGAGATAATCCAATGTTCATTATCTCACTTGATGTGGATAAAGTGAATCCAGCAATCAATCTACACGTTTTTTTCGCAAGTGTTTTTATTGATATGAAGTGGACTTCTGCTCAAAGTGGAACATGCTTGGACTTGATTCACGTGAATGCAACGAAAATATGCAGAAAAAAGAAGATTTCTGCGTCATTGTTTGGCGGAAAAGATCTCTCTTTGATGAGATTAGAAAAGCTGGAAATATTCCATGAAATCGGTTTCTGTCTGCAGGACAGCATAGCCGAGTGGGCAAAAAGAAGTTACTCGAAAATGTAATCTTCTGAGTTACTTTCAGCAAGAACGAAAGTTCACTGGAAGACGAAAAATGACCTATTCGAACAATCATTATAATATTGAGTTAAGCTTGAAATATTAAGGCCCCGGTCAGACTTCACGCGACTTAATCGTCGCGACCAAATCGCCAAGATTTCCATTCATTTTCATTTCACATTCAAAAATTTCGGTCTGGAAAAGTGTCACAACCGAATGCAAGTTGATCTGCATGGAATGATGTTGTAACAGTTGTCTCCTCGCGATTCAGTCGCGACGATCAAATCGCGTGAAGTCTGCCCGGGGCCTAAGCCGTCTTACCGTCTTATCCCCCCCCCCCCCCCAAAAAAAGAGACAATACCTTACCATTTCCCAGCATTTTACTCCCGTAATATGTTCAATAAATATGGATGCCTGAACAAAGCAACAATAATACGACCCACCGGTGGGTCGTTCGGCTTCTGCCATTTCGGACAATACGGCCCACCGGTGAGTCGTAAGTTCAAAAAAGCGATAAAGGCTGTAGTCCAAAGCAGCAGTATTCGGTCGGTTTTGTCTTAAATGTGTTAATTCCCTGAAACTCGATGCTAACCTGCAGCTCAAAGCAAACTTTCCAAGCGCACCAATCACCATTATCGATTACGGTAGGAAGTACTGTCTGGGCTGGGGTTTGGAGTTATATTTTTCGGCAACGATTACATTTTACTTGCTGCCGTTTAGGCAATGGCCTAATCAAAATCTTCTGATCAGTTTCCACATAAGAAGTCCGGGTACCCGATTGCCTGGACACTGCCTTCACTGCTACTTCCTTGTGGATCTTATTCAAAAAAAATTTTTTTCCCTAACTTCTGAATTTAAACCCTATGCTTTCATTCTTTTGTTTCATAAAAGAAAATCTGGCACACAAAATCTTTTGAAAATTTACCTATTCAGCGCCGACCAGATCAACTGAGGAATATGATCAGCCCTCGACCTCCGTGGCAGCTCCCCCGCCGGGAAAGAAAAACTCAAACAAAGAAGCTCGTCTCGAGAACGAATCATTACCACAACAAGCGAAGACATCAGCAGAAGCAATGGAGACCAATAGGTAGAAATTATACGTTTTGCGTTAGATAGTGTCGTGAGGGGGGGGGGGGAGAAAGAGAGAAATTTAATCTTTGTTTTGCAATAAATCATCAATGATTTGAAAAATGAGTTTTGATGTTCGTGCTTCAATCAGATTTTGGCACTCATAAGCATTTCATTAATTCTTTTACATTGAGTGAATTTTTTGGTTCGTGTTAGTTTCTATGTCTTCTTTCACCCTTCCCTTCAGTTCATCAAAGAAGGTGCTTGCGTAGCCCGCTTGATAGGCTCGATCCGAAATTATTGTTCTTTTATATTCGTTCATTTCAGTCAAACAGTTTCATTTCAGTCATACAATCATCCACCCAGTCATTTTGGTTGTACCTACGGAAAATATTGCTTTCACAGTAGAGGCCATCAAAAGGTACAGCTGCATTATAATAATTGACCCAATTTCTAACTCAGTATGTGCAAATACACAACACGCCATTGCGCGTAAGAATCTGGATCTCGCTAACCACGAGTGCAATTCTTCCAGTTAGGTGCTGTTTTAGCTTTTTTTTGCCTCAAACACTGAGAGAATCTTCAGCGATTTTTTCAAGAACTAATGCAATACGGCCAGCGTTATAAACGTATGCGCAACATGGACACTGTGTCTGCATTTGCACATATTAGGTTAGAGTACCTCCACCATAACTGAAGCACAAGTTCCTTGTTTTTGGTACAACTGAATCATCAATAATCGTATTTAGAGTTTTTCGCACAACTACTGAAGCAGGTGTGCAAGTGCACCCATTCGATTTTGCCCCGGCTATCGAGAAGGCTACGGTGGCCGTGGGAATGGTATGTCAATCAATAATCGATTGACACCTCATAGGCAAACCACTTATAACAAAGTGTTCTTTGCAGGACCAACCTTCATGCTTCGATTTTTGCGGTCAAGTCAACTCAGTCAATGCACCGTACTTCTACCATGCTCAAGAAACCGGCAGTAACACTGCGAATGCCTCTTCCAGTACCGAACAACCTATGCTGGATTTTGCGCAGAGCTCTACGTTCTGCTATGAAGCTCAACAAGCGTCTGAGCAGGTGGCTGTTATCGCGCTCTATTGCTTATTCTTGCTCTAATTCTACTTTTTCAGGGGATACAGTATGTCTACGGTACTGATCTCGTAACTGAAGCACAAGTTCGCAATCGCACCACAAGCACTAGTGGACAGTATCTGGAAAATGTTTATAGCACTAATCCGCAGGTAGTTGCCGCAGCGCAACCGCTAGTGAAGACATTTGGAACAATGGTGGACGAAAAAGTGTGTCAGAGGTGGGTTTTCAATTCTGATATCTATCGACCAGGTAGTCAATGATGCATTTCGGGCAGTTACACTACAATGTGAAGCCAAATTATAGTAAATCAGAAAACTCTGTGTTAAAGTCATTCGCGCGGCGGCAGTCCCTTTTCCATGCTATTGGGTCGCGAAAAGAACACGCGAGAAGAAGAGACGCAGGGGGGTGGTGCAGGAGGAACCAAAGGGCTGCCGCCTGTATCCGCAGGAGATTATTAGGAGCGAGCATTGTGGAGAATCTTTTGGCAGGGATCCAAGAAAACTCGGCAGGGACATCCTTTAGGAAGAAATTTTCATAACTTCGCCTGGAGATGACTTTGAAAAATTTCATAAAAGATTTGTAATGCAAATGGGAAGGCGCATTCATTGGGCCTAAAAGTAAATGAAAATTTGGAATTCTAGTGGTAACGAAAGTCAACTACCATAGAAACTTTTTGTTTTGAATTTTGAAGTTTCAGGCTGTTGAAGTCCGGGGTTTTCATTCAAAATTCTTTCTTTCTTCTTCGAGATAATGGAAAGCAATCAAAATGTCATAAGAACACTGGAGGTTTGTGTCGAAATGCAATATGCAGTTTGTCTCTTAGCTTCAGGCCCAATATAATTTTAAATTTTGACATTAGAGACCTCATAGGATTTGCCGTTGAAACTATGTCGGTAACCCTTTACGTCGTACACAGTAGCAAAAGTTCATCACATGCAACTTAGTTAACATTAATTCCTTATTATCATTTATACTTTCAACTTCGTATCCTGAAATTTCACTAAAATTCAATTGAAATTTTCACCCAACATTTAGCTTGAAATTCCAGCTTAGAATGGTGAATTTTGAAGGCACAGTTTTTGGTAAAAATTGCGAGACAGAGTTGTTCAACTACTCAGCGTATTATTGAAAAATGCTTTCAATACTGATTCGAAATCTGTCCTTCGTATCCTTGAGACTTGATTCCAAGGAGAGTTATAAGGGTTTGTTCTTAATGGATGTCTTGGCCAAGTTTTCCTGGATCCTTGCCAAAATCTTCTCCACAGCGCTCGCCCTCCTACTATCTCCTACGGCTACGGGCGGCAGGTCTTTGGTTCCTCCTGCACCGCATCCGAGTACAGACATGGTCCCGCTATGAATGCCATATCGCTTTGCTTGTAGCGCAAATATGGGAAGCGAGCGCGCTCGGACGTTTGTTATACTTAGGAATATTACGAATTCACATCGATACACTGAAACAACCGCGACGCGCCCGCACGCAGCAACTGCGCGACCGCGCCGCTTAACACATGCGACTCCGTATCGGTCCTGATTCATTGTTATTTATCACTCTATGACTGTTCAAGAACACTGAATGGGTTAATCACATTTTTTGACAGTGACTGGCTGGCTATCGACTTCCTCCACCATGCGTATGTAGCTTACAATGCTAAAAAAAGTATTTTGAAACTAAAGAAGGGAGTTTTGAGACCGGTTTGTTTTGAACAAAGACAATCTACAGCGGCTAACGACCAGTGAGATTCGCTCAAACAATGTTTTTATAGGCAATTCTTCCTTTCGAAAAGCTTCCTGCTGGTGATCTGGTGAAATACATGAGATTTTTCATGACCACCCGTATTAGAGCGCATTCTTCGCAGAGATTTCACTGATTTATGGCTGTACTAGTCGAATTTATCTTCTCAGCATTGTCTGTCGGCTGCTTTTTCTCAACGCTGGATCTAGCATTATCTCACAATTATCTTAGCCAATTAAAGGGCTCTGAGTTTTTGGGAAAAGTACCGGGTTGTAATGGGAGATAAAAGGATGGCTAGGGAAGGGGGAGGGTGATAAATTTGGATAATAAGTTATAAGAGAATTTAAGTTCTGCTCAACTTATGAGACAAAGATGGGATTGTCTTGTTTTTCCCATAGGAAGCAATCCGATACGGTAGAAACTCGTCCTTTTGTCACAAAATAACCAGAAATGATCCTGTTGACATCTAGCCCACCTGGGCAACGAATGTTTTCGATGAATAGCCAATGAATTGTTCTGATTTACAGTAATGTGTCGTCATGCGTACGAAACGCAGAGACAAGCATGGACGGACCGGAATTCGATTTGTTACGGGATATTGAGACACAAACACCATGGAACGATGTCGGATTGATGACAGATTTCTGGACCGACATGGGGCATTCACCCTAGGTTTTTTTCGTGTTTTCTATGAAGAATATAGAATGCGCTGGGAATTTTTATTTAAAAATAAAGGTTACAAAATCAAATTTGTGTAAACATTTAGCTGTTGATTCAGGCTTGTTTTCCAAATGTTTCCAATCAAGGTTCAAAACTTCATTCTACACCGTAAAATTAGCGCCAAATTCCGTGTAAAACAGTTCATTTTCAGGTTATAGAATGCAGTTCAAAAAAAAAAACATGAATTTAAAGTTCAAAAGTAAAGTTGAAGTTTTGAGTTTCTAGATTTCAAAGTTTTTTTAACATGAATTTCCCACATATAATGAAAAATTAATATTGGAATGAATAATAAATTATTTTGGTCGCTTTTGCGGCCCGTAAAAATAATGCAAACAAATTTTTGTCCGCTTTTGGTATTCCTGAAAAGAGCACTTCAATGAGGCTTGGTGTAACTTTCAGGAAGTCAGGAACTTCCATGTTTCCTCTTTTTTTCTTTTTTTCTTTCTTTTTTCTGCTTTTTTCAATTGGAATTTGATTCCTTACAAAAAAAAAAGCAGAAGTAACATACCCCAATTTTTTTGTGCGCAAATATGAGAAAATGCCGCTCTTTTTATGAAACATTTCAAAATGCCAGATCACATTTGTTGTTCTCTGTTATTCACTTAACAGAGAGAATCTGGATGTATCTAAATATCAAATTGCTCATCTCTACAACCATTATAGCATGAAAACCAAGTTTGCAACTGAAGGACTGAATTCTTAGAAATTCAGCCATGTTGGGGCATAACCGTTTTAATTATGGTAAAAATTCCGAGTAGTTGATACATGATAGTAGAAGCTTTGAACTACTTTCCTTCAAAATTCTTGGATTAAAAACAACAAGGAAAGTTTTTATGAAGTTATAAAGTTACAGGTTGAGAGGAAATTATTTTTAGCCAATCTAGTAGATATCTTCTAACTTTTTTTTGCTCAAATAAACGCACTTTGAACAAGATCCTTGCCTCCATTGCAGGAAGTCAATCATAAGTTCTTTTCACAAGCACAAGTCGATCATTTACGGATCTCCTGATCGCAATGCCGGTTTTTCCAGGCTTATCCTGATTCTTCTGAGAATTCTTTATGCTTCAAAGAGCTCTTGAACTTATGAAAGCGGGTTGTTCATTCTAGCGGGATAAAACGTTCTCCTGGAGAATTTTAGACATTTTACTTGCAAAAAAGCAGTTTGCGTGAAGTATGTGTCGAATAGAAATTTCTGTGGTTGAACCAAGAAACGCCAAATTTTGCACACATATGTTTTTAACCCCTGCGCACACGATAGGCTACTTTTTCAAGGCGATTTGCCCAGTCTTCTAGAGTGCATTATTGAATATGTCAGCCGTAGTGCAGAGGATAGTGGGTAGGTCTCACAGTCAACAGAGTAAGGCTCAAATCTCGCTTGAATATACTCTTTTGCTGTTTTGGTTCGCATTCTTCGTAACTTCAGCAGGTGACCCGGCGGAATTTCCCCAAATGTTTTGCGGAAGTTCCGGTCAGTTGTCTGAGAAACCGCTTGCACATTTTGGTGTAAACAGAGGGGGTAAACCTCATTTTTATTCGCAGGAAGGAGGATGCGGCTATGGGGCAGGACGAATTGAAGGCATGCGCTTACTCGGAGCCAATTCACATCACTAAGTATAAGTGCACACTTTGATAGGTACTGGCCCTGTGCAGAGACGACACATTCCCATTTTTTCGATTATTTGTCATTTATCTTTTTTGCGGCTCTCTTGGCCGATGTGCCACCATCGCAGTGGTGCATTGCGGATGTCAAGTGGTGTAATTACAGAAAGTGACTGCTGAAGTGACTAAATCTCGCATTGCAGCTAAAAAAATGAAAAACGTAGAGAGTAAGGTTAGAGCTGTGAATGTTGAGAAAGGACGGATAGAATAAAAGCAAGGGATTTGTCTCAGATACTCCAGATTTTCCTCTCTGGTAGCCTGCTAGTCTCCTATAAAAAGGTCGACTGGAACCTTTTTATCTCTATCGTTCTATTGATACGCTTTATAACTAACATGTGAGGTAGATATCAAAAAATGAAACAAAAACAAAAACAAAGCAATATGATTGGACGCTGAGGGGAAATATAAAGTGGAAAAACAATCAAGAGAAAAGCGAGATGAATTGAAAACAAAAACAAACAGAAGAAACATAACATGTAATAGCAGAAAACGGAACATGAACAATGACAACCACTCTGCAAAAACAAGTGACGATAACAGGAAGGAGGACGATTGGCAAGAGAACAGCATTTTGCCAAAGTTTGGCAGAGAGCATCTTAACCAAGTAATCTACGGAAATCCGCCAATACTCTAAGGGTAAAGAATATCGCACGAAGGAGAGTCTCTTGGCTGAGGAAGCTCTCAATTTAAGCGAATATCCTCTTGTTCTGGTGAAAAAAATAACGAAAAGTTTCGAGAAATTAATCTTGCAGTCACCGTTTAGAATTTTTAAAGTCATGGAAAGATCGAATTTTTTCCTTCTAGAGGCCAAACTAGTAATGTTCTACATTTGGTCTACAAATCTTGCGTTCAAATTTCGTAGGAAATCCTGAACTTTTCTTGGCAGAAACTCACAACATTAGAATAAATAGAGTATTATATAAAAAGGAGGACGGAGTTTTGCACCATTATACCCAGCCAACTTGAAATGTTGTGTTCAGCAAAATTTCTTTCAAAAAAAACTTACTGAATGTTTGCTTCGATATCACTTTTTTCATCTTCTGGTCAATTAGAGTTCAAAATAACGCATTAATAGCGTACAAAGGCAGCAAAAAGATTCTAAATAGCAAAACGAACAGAAACTGAAAATGCAAACGATTTGATCTCGGGCGGGCTCGAACCGCCGGCCTTCTGTGTGTTAGACAGATGTGATAACCACTACACCACGAGATCGCTGACGTTTGCCTTCAAAGAGCGCCTTATGAAAAGACCTTCGCAAACGAAAATTTACTTCACCTTATATACTGCTAATGTGTACTTAACTCATTTATTTAAGTTCAATTAATCAATTTCACTAAAGTGCAAGTCACCTTCTCAAAAGATAGTAAGCTTAAGCTTTAAACTCCAATCGCGGCTCCTAACAGCAATTGAAAACACTAAAAAGTTATTTTATTTCTTAACCATCTATGTTGTTTATCTATCTAATTAAAACTTTATCCTAAACTTCTCTTTCCAAATGAACGTAGAATATACTTTTTTGCAAAATTTTGATTATCTTCAATGTCTGAAAAAACACAGAAAGATTTCAACACTAATTTTGCTTGCTGCTGTCGAAAAAACAAGGTCCTATATCTTACCCATTCAAGCTTGATAATAAAATATCAGATAGAATTTCAAAGTGCTCTATCCATTAGTTTGAGATTCTTACACAAAAATTTAGTAAATTTCAGAACTGACATTTTATTTTCTGAGTATGGAGACTTTTCGTAGAGTTTCTGATCATTGATTTATGGTAATTGATATATATACATTACTAGGTATAGAATGAGATTAACTGTAAAAATATCAGAGCACAAACGATTGGAAACTTTACGAAAAGTGTCCATACTCAGAAAAAAAGAAATGGAATGCTAGTTCACAAATTATCAAATATTTTCTGAACTTTTTCTTCAATGGGGCACTGTACATGAAAATAGAAAAACTTTGCGAACAGTAGTAGTATTGATTTTGAAAAAAAAAACTCCTCAAAAGGATATACAATTAAAAGTCTATTTTGAGCTCAAACTCGTACAAAAACGTTAAGTCCCCAGTATTCTATGGTCCCTTTATGAACGTGCCTTTTTCTAGTACACCTCTGCTTTCCGTAATGTTTCCATAGCAACGATGCAAACCATTAACCAGCACTCTTGCTCGGCTAAGCTTTCCTTTATTGTCCTCCTAAAATGTTGGATATGTGGGCTTTGGCAAAGGAAAAGCTACGGGAAAATGAAGAAAAATCTGCAAAACTAAACGAGGGGCTGGAGGAAAAAACAGGTAGGTAGAATTTTTCGTCTTTTTGTATGATGTGAACTCAGTACAGGTGATGGTAGTACAGCTTCCCATAAGACTACTACCCACATCGTTATTTGTGGTTGCTCCCAGTCGGTAAGTTAACTTTGACCTGGGTAACTCAGTCAGTAAACCTTTTAGGGTAAATCAACACTTATTCATAAGTTTTTGGACAAAAATGAAGAACCAAAGGAGACGATAGCTTTGGAGTATTTATATGCAAGGCGAACGAGAGGGAATGTAAACTATTTGCAATTTTCTATTTACTGGCTCTGTTTGTCCGATGTGGAATCTTCCAGAACAAGGACGTTTGCCATTTATGGGAACTTGGTGGTGGCACGAATTTCTCTCAACTACTTGCTATACCACTTGTAAAGAAGAATATCGAGTAAATTACCAGAACCAAAAATTAATTTGTTCCTAATATTCCTCCTCAGAGCCATTTCTCTGGTTCTTGTCCTGGATCTGACCAGACCAAATGAGTTATGGATTACTATGGAGCAACTTCTGGCTGCTGCCAGTAAGGATATCGAGGTCGCTTCCAAGGAACTAAACCAACAAAATCAGGATGCGATGAAAGCTTTGGTCAAATCTAGAGTATCGGATTATAAGGTAAACAAAACGATTTTGATAAAATTCTATCTGGAAGTATAATGTTGGAACACAAGTGTTGCACCAAAAACTGAAACTTTGTGTAAATGCTAAATTGTTACAAATTGAAGTATATTTTCATTCTGAATTCCTCTTGTTGTCTTCTCGCTCAATTATTTTCTCTTCCTAAAATGTGCTGAAATCAAAATAATTCAATAAAACTAGGGGGATTTTTCTGGAACCTTTAGTACAAGACCTATATCAACCTACAATATTAGTTTTTCCAGTTACATTCCCCTCATCTCTTTTTTCCACTTCAAATAAAGTTGATCGGACAGAATATTGTAGGACTGAAAACTTACCAGTGTCGTTTTGCAGGATGACATCAGAATGTGCTCACCGTTTCCAATTCCTCTTCTAATTGTCGGTTCTAAATATGATGAGTTTCAGGTTGGTTAATTTACATTTGCCTTAAAAATTGTGAGTGACCATAATTGACCATAATGTCACCAAAAGATCTTTTTTAGAATTTTGACTCAGAACAAAGGAGGAAAATCTGCGCTACCATGCGATTTATAGCGCACTATTACGGAGCTGATTTGATAGTAAGTTGGTTGAAATTTTATCAAAATCACCATATAAATTCAGATCTGAACCACTATCAAAATCCATGAAATTTTCAACTTCTCCTTGTCAATTTCTGCTTTAGCTTTTTCAAATTATATAAAGACATAGACTTGAAATCAATGCAACTGTTCTTACTTCTTTTACTGCATCAGTTTTAATTTTATGATGATTTTCTGTCTTCGGATTTACGTCTTAAAGATTCTGTGGCAAACATCTCAAAACGGATGAGACATATATACACATTGCTAATCCAACAACTGTGAAAAATTCGTTCAGTTTTACTCAGCTCGAAGTGAACAACTCGTAAAAATTGGCAGAAGCTTCCTAAGCCGTTTTGCCTTCGCAACCACTGTCCCAAAGGCAAAAGTTGACGATCATAACAAGCCGTTGTACATTGTCTGTGGAATGGACTCTTTTGAGGTAAGGCACATGTCTAGGTTTTGTCATTTTAGCGCTTAATTTTATCTTTCTTAGTCGATCGGGCCTCCTCCTGTGGATACGGCATCATTTTCTCGTGCTGGACAGCCCATACATTTGTGGAAACAAGCTTTTTGTGATCACTTTCCGCAAGCGGTGGGTAATTCTGAGAAAACAATTTTATGTGTTGAGTTTGATTTCCAAACTTTGAAAAAAGACTCGATAAGTTCAAAAATCTACAGCAAGTCTTAGTGTTTCCAGAATAAGAACTGTTTTTTGACTCAAAATATTGCCAATCTTAAATTTTTCCTCATGACCTTTTGTATCAGATTTTTCAACATGACGAGTTCAACATGCTACTATCAAAAATTTTGATGTGATTTTGAATATTCAGGAACGAGAAACGGCAGACAAATCCAATGAGGAACAAGATATTTTTGCTGAACCGATGATTGATAATCTAGTTGCGAAAAGGGAAAAGGTAAATTTGATTTCCTTCTTCTTAACTCAACTAACATTTTCCTCTTCTAGGATCTCGAAGTTTACATAAAACAAAAGAAAGATCGTCAAGCGGCAGAGGCTCGAGCTGCAGAAAAAATCAGAGCCATTTAGTGCCTTTGGGGTCGATCGAGAATAAATATCATCATTTTCCGCGCTAATTTTTCTCTCAGAAATTTTTATGACTATGTGAAAGTAAACTTCATTGATTTTTTGTACAGGTTATCTGACCATGATCATCCACTTAGCGTAGAGCCAGGCAAATTGACTTTTATATAAGTTTGAGGAGAAGAAGGCGCTTTCAAAGAATAAGAGCCGCTCAGCAAGTCAGGAAAGCGATTGTGAAAAGAGTTTTGGGAGTATCTTTATGTAGAGTCTGAAATCAGTATTCTCGAGATAACATTACGATAAAGATAGTCGATTATAATTATTTGATTTTTTTAACATCTAAAATTTCTTATTCTTATTGAAATAGGTGTTGTATGCATCGCTCATAATCAACAGAACATATTATTACTTCTTTAATTGAAGTGAGAAAGGAAGGATAAGAAGCTTATTTGAATTCTAGCTTCTCGTTGGCAGATGAGACTACTCATTCTTTATTGAATTTTGAACCTCTGACATTTTTTCCTCCACTGGATTGTAACGATAAGATAGCGAACGCAACACAAAATGTCTCTGCTGTTCCCATTCCTGACGTTAGCGCTATTTATTTGCCAAACATATTCAGCTGGTAAGTTCATTCAGAACTAAATTGTAGCGCGAATTGAGCTGCAGAATTCTAGGAGGATGTGACCTAAACTTGCCACCAAAATCATGGACCGTAACGAAGGCCAGGGGAATAACAAGGGTTGCTACGATTGGCGCTCGACTTGGCCAGCAGTACTGCATATCGGTTAGTGGATGCAGATTTTGTTGACTAATCCTTCGTGCAGGAAATGCATCAAAAAATCGCAGCGATATGTGCGATTGCAGACAGCCTGCAAATTGTGCGTAAAATTCCGATTTTCATTGACTACGGTAGAGATATTCCCCATCTAGAGCGATTTTGCTTTTCTGGGCAGCGAGTGTAACACTTGATGAAATCTCTGGAATAAGTTTCTGAACTGGCCAACAAGATCCAGGTTTCAACGCGCATTGTGTACGATTTGTGCATTCACACATTATTCACGAGTTCGGTAAAAAGCGGCACATCGAAAACAAAACATTTGCCAACAAAAATGGTAATAGAACGCATACTTTCAAGCAAATGACGGAGTATTACGACTTTGCTAGTGAATCTTTTTTATTTTGTTTTAATTTTGTTGGTCCCACGTTCGAGTGAAGAAAAAATTGGATGAGAAAATGCGCGACTTGTATCTAATTTATAGTGAGTACGGCCTCCCTAGCCATCTTTTTTCTGAATGAGGTAGGATGAAAATCGGATTAAAATAACCAATTATCTACATAGTTCTATAAACTTATATTAACAATATAGCAACAATTCTTACTCTTTTGCAGAAAGATGAGCAATATGACATTCTCGAAATTGACTACCATATTGATCTTCCTAGCAACTACAAAGTTCAATCAGTTTCTTATATGAGAACCATGGAATTCCAAAACGAACTAAAACTGGGAAAATCCAATTTGGGAGATAACCGTAAGTATATTTTTGTATCGATTATGACTAGGCAATAAAAAATTAATTTGCCAGAAGCTTCTCTGCGATATGATATCCAACACACGAGCAAAAAGATAAACGATATTCATTAAAGTACAGGGTGTCCCAAAAAAATGTGCCTACTGTTTGGTTGCAAATAACTCTCTTGTAACGAAGTGTTTCGAGATGCTTTAGGCACCGTTTTGTAGAGCGAGGTTGAACTTAGATTTACAGTATGAAGCGGATCATCTATCCTCTTCATTACTGTAGGATTACGGTAAGAACTTCCAGCATATGGAACCATTGTAAAATATACCACCTAACAAAATTTTTTTCAAAAAATCTAAAAAATCGTGTACTAGGGTTTTCGCGCATGCTGATTCCACCTAACAACTTTTCACGAGTGTTTTCAGCTTTTTTGACGGTGTAATTACATTTCTGGCAAATGCTGGGAATTGAGTTATTACGATTTACCGGGGTTAACTTAGGAAAGAAGCATCACAGCAAAATGGGAATTTCAAATTCGAAATCAGCGGCTTCCATTACCGTAGTGTAAGAGTTTCTGGCTTGTATGGTTTCGTTCCGAGGCAGAGTGTAGCCTCCAAAGGCCTAAAATCTTTGTCGAAGTTCCTACCGTAATTCTACAGTAATGAAGAGCGATAGATGATTCGCTCCATACTGTGTAACTAAGTTTAACCTCGCTCTACAGAACGGTACCTAAAGCTTCTCGAAACACTTTATTACAAGAAAGTTATTCATATTCAAACAGTATGCACATTTTTTGGGACACCCTGTGGAATTATAGTTTTAATTTTTACTGATTTTTTTCACCGTCAGCCTATACTTCCTAGAAAAACTGCAATATATTACATTTAGGTTCCTTTTTGCCATGTTTTACAGAGAAATCATCTATTTAAAATTTCGTTATCACTACCAAAAAAACTATAACAAAGCGCGTTTGCTAAGAAGCAATGGTTCTGTAACTAGTATGGATCTTTTCGCACTCTTCAATTTCGCGTTTACTTGCTGTGGAAATTTAAAGAGGAAAAAAGAAAATACTGGTGTGCTTACGAACAAAAACCGAGCTATGAAGTGGTGTGCCTCATGATCAGGACAAATGCCCATTCATTTCAATTCTTTGGCATACGGTAAAAAAGTAAACGAAAAAATTTTTTAGTTTTTTGTTGTATGTACTTATAGTTTATGACCCGTAAATATTGAATTCAGATAAAAGTAACAGCAAAACTAGAGACGTTTTCCCATCTATGCTATTTTCAGCTCATAACAAATGTAACTCAACGGACCCCTCCATCGTGGTCTGTTTTCCGTTTTGCAGACGTGACTATGAGCAAATGGTGAGTTCTACACAAAGAATTACAGAAAAGATTTAATTTATCTATTTTTTAGGTCGTAGATGCAGCTTTATCATCTGGAGATGCTGATGTAGTGGCCAAAAAGATCAAAGAGTCGCTAAATAAACGAATGTGGGCGATAACCGTGCTAGATGTGAGTACGAAGGCGTTGCGAGAAGCTTCGTTCATAGTTTCTCGTTTGCGCGAAGGTTCTCCCGCCAAATCGCGTTGTAAGCGCTTGCGACCGCGACACAGTACGCAATCGGTTTTCATTTTCATTACGAATTGATTGTCTGAAGTAGTGACTTTCATGCGCTATCTACAAGGGCCCCGTCATACTTCGCCGGGAGAAGCACGCTTAAAAAGCCCAAAAAAGCCCAAGAAAGCCCAAAAAGCCGGAAAGAGCCCAAAAGCTCTAAAAAGCCCGAAAGCGCCAGAAAGAACCGGAACGCAGGAACGAACTTTTGATAGAATTCTAACATCATTTTGATGTGTAGACGACAGGAAATGAACCAAAAACACTCGTTTGCGAAATCAGCACCCATGCCTTAGCGCCAAAACGTGCGCGCGGAATGGGCGTTCCGGCTCTTCTGGCGCGTTTGGGATTTTTTGGGCTTTTTTGAGCGCTTTTGGGCTTTTCTTGGCAAAGTATGACGGGTCCCTAACTGTTGGTGAAGAAGCGTGCGGTGCGGTCGCGTCGCGGTCCGCGTGACATTTGGTGTCAGCAAACAGTGACTATACACAAGACCGCTCAATTTGCTAAATTCTCCCATTTTCAGGTCGATTACACAAATCCACAGACAAAAATCAATGCAACGATGTTTTTGGAGTTCACTACATGGTGTAGTGTCTACATTGGAAGAAATCCACCACCGCCACAAGCTCCCTATCTTTTTGAGATTCAGCTAGCAAAAATCATGCCATTTTGGGTTGGAAATTGATATGATCAGTAGGTGTAGACAGATGTATCGTAAACGCAAAACTGATTAGTAAGTGTTGGATAGGCGTGTCACCGTACGCAGAGACAGGGCGCGACGGCGGACGCTGTCGACACTCTCGGGTCAGGCGGCTCTTTCATCTCTCTTACGTCGTCTGCCTCTCCAAACGCATAGTGTCTTAGTACGCGACTGCGACCAGCCTCTGCCTGCACTGACTCGTCTATAGTCTATTTGCTGTACTACCACTTCAACTGTTTTTCTATGCGATCCGAATAAATCTCAAAACTCATATTATCATCTATTCAATGACTAGGAGACGCGGGACCGCATTGTGGTCATCGTCTTAACAGGTTTGAGTTTGTTCTTCCCTGTTTTCAAGGAGTGAATGAATCTGGACGAGATGAGTAACAAGTATAAACCGCTAAGTACACGATTAGGCTGTTTAGACAATTGCAATGCGATCTCGCGTCTCCTAGTCATAGAATGAATAATAGGTATCTACGCTTTGTATAGGGCATTTGAAAAATCGTGACGATGGCACGACCGCTCGCGACACGCTTTCTTGGTTCTCATCTCTAGTCGAATTTTTTTTTTGCTTACATAAGATATTATTTAGACCTTGGAAGTGACTGAGCTGGACGTTAAGGTGCTGCCTTCTTGCATAAGCGTTTTCTGCTTTTGCGGGCGCAAAGTCCGCAGTAAAATACGTTGTCACGATTTTTCAAATAAACTATATGTAAAATCGTTTGCATCCTACCTGAACAGAACGAGAACATTTGTAAGATCCCAGTCATTATGAGATAGTAAATGCAGCGAAATATTTTAGGCGATTCATGGCAAGCAAGGACTGCGGATCTATCGCCGTCTCTCTGATCGAGCGGTCTTTCATTTCTCCTACCATCTGCTGTCTCTTCCATGCATGAACTAACTTGGCCGGACGCAACGGCGCCCCGTCTTTGCGTGTCATGGATTGTGTATATCTTCGGCCGCTCTGCTGCCGCTACGCGGCAGCACGCAGTGACGTGTTATAAAATGTGGAACCATCAATAAATCATAAAAAGGGTCAATTGTGATAAATCTTCTGTAATCAGCATGCTCCCATACTTCTGCCATTAGTCCAGAGGCAGAACAGCAAAATCCCAACCAACTTCGGTGGAAAAGCTTATTATTGGTGGCATCCGCTCCGCCTCAAAGTTTATACTTGCAAAATTTCGTGCAGAAATCGCGAACCTTTCAATTATTCTAAGACGGTTATAAATGAAAAGCTAAGCAAAAGACGCCAAAAACCAATAAATCAATGAGGCCAATCAATAATTCTTCTGGTGAAAAAGCTTGGTGATATCTGCCTCTCCTAAAGGTTTTATTTGCGAAATTTGGTGCAGAAATCTCGATTCTTCCTATTATTGGAGGCCGGCATCATTGAAACGAAAATTAGCCAAATATGTAGAAGGCTGATGACGATGAAAAATGATGGACTTTCTATTCCATATCTTCTTTGAATGTAGCAGCACATTCAAAAGAAAGACGTTATTGACCGCTTCAAAGTGCAATATTGCGTCGCTCCGCTTAAGCTTTGAAAGGCGCTTCTTTTTTCCAGAACTCTTTCCTTGCAACAAAAGTCAATATGTCTTCCGAAGCTTGGTCTTAGATTGTGATAATTTGCAAAACTTTTTGCAAATTCTTGATCGTCCAATGAGCATTATTTTTTGCAACGTTGCACCACACAACGAAGACACGGCGGTAATAAATTTGATTCGAACAAAACGGTCTCATTTTTGCACTTTTGTTTCCCGAAACTGGTGGATTGCAGCAGCGTGGTGGGGCTTCTTTTCCAGTCATATTTGAATGAAGGAAATTTGTCTTCTCAGTACAAATCATACAAGATTTAGAAGTCACTGAGTTCTTCAGAGCTCTTGAAGGGAGTTTGTTTTTCAAGTATTCTTTTCCGGGGAGAAAGTCAACTATAAAGCTGTACTTTTTGCGCAAACTCTCTGGATATAAAAAGCACTTAATGTTGCTTCTGAATATAAGACATTCGATTAACAAAGAGTGGGCATCCTATCAAGACGCGATTCACAAAGAAAAAGAATGAAATCAGCTGTCACTACTTTCGAAAGCATTAATAAAGGTGGTTTTCTTGAAACTCAAAGTTTGTTGACGGCTGCTAGCATTTCTTTTAGCATTGTTCGATTAAGTACGTAGAAAACGAGCGTTGAAATGAAAATGATTACTCGTTCTCTGCCATTCAGCGAATTCTGATATTCCCCTTCTGCCTTATCTGAACAATTTTCCCCCTTCATCACTTCATCGCTTCATCGGACATTAGTTACACTAGTTTGCAGGTTTAGAGCTTCTTTTAGGCAATGCAAGACATAAAAAAATGGCGCGAGGAGGAGCCGCTGAACTTGACCAGCGACATCAGTTCAGATGAATCCCATAGAAGTGATGAAAATTTCGACACCTCCACTAACACGCTTCTGCCACAAAACTCGTGAGTTTTGCCCGTAATTTTTATCCATGTCTGAAGGATCTGCGGTTTTTCCGCCTTATCATTTTATCGTTTCAAAGTACACTTTGGTGCACCTTGATCGGTGTAGGGTCGTTTGATTTGAATCGTTATCTGTTTGCTCTTGCTTTGCTAGTGATTTGTGAATGATCGCTGATCTTCTGCTTATCGCTTTATCCTGCATAATCCACGCTAACAATAACCTACTTATATCCTTATCCAGGCTCAGCATACGATAAGACTGCTATAAGCATGAGATCACAATCGTGTTAAATAATAGTTTTATCTTGCGAGTCATTTTCTCACTTCATTTCAAAGCTGAGAATTTGACAAATTGAAAGAATTGATCTGCTTTTTGCAAATAATCAATGGTGGTGCTTGCAAGCTTTCTATATTTCGATTTCGCTTAGCCCTTTTATTTGAGCCAACAATTAACGTCGCAAATCACCAGTTAATTGCATCTAAGCTATTTTCTTTTATCATCTTTGTATATCTCAGCTTTTTCAGAACTGCCGACAACTCGGCTATTCTCATCCCTCAAACACCTGTTGCCGTTCATAATTTATCCAGCTCTTCTGCTCAACACGGTCGTCTTTCACTGTCACAACCCGTTCTCTCAAACGCTACACCCTCACCTTCCTCGAGGCTGAGTCAGTTTTTGTTATTTTTATCTAGAAGCATGGGATTGTCATTGCACTAAAAGATAGAAATTTTATAGATATGTCTGCTGGAAACATTGCTCGCCCTCCACGACCTCAGCGGGTGCCGCTTATAAAGACTCAAGAAGAAAATGAACATTTAAGGCACCAGCTTGCCGAGTTCAACGTTAGTCAAATGCAGTTACATGCTATCCCATTTGGAGTGTCGGGTGCACCGGCGCTCAGATCCGGCGCGGCCGCCCCGCCTGGACTTTGCACTGCGTTCGCGTATGTGTCGTCTGGTCATTTTCTCATGCCTAAGCGTGAGAAAAGGCTTAAAGTTGAGCTTATTGATTGGGCATGAAAAATGGTCAAAGAACGCGTACGTGGGGTGCAAGCTCAAGCGAGGCAGCCGCGCGGGATTGGCAGCTGGCGCACTCGACACTGCTTTTGAAATAGCCTGCATAGTCGCGCTATCTTCCTGAATGTAATTTCAAGGCAAAACTAAGTGTGGCAGAATACAAAGTGATGGAATTGGAAAGGATGCTGCCCCGTGAAGTTCAGGATATTCTCGAGGAAGTATGGCCTATCCCTAAATGTTTATTTTTGTATTCTAATCTTGCGATTTTTAGTATTACTCGCTACAAAACTCAAGACTCGACCTTATCACGGAGCGTGAAGAACTTGCGGCTGCTAGGCGTCAGCTCGAAGCTGAAATGAATCAGGCTGACACGACTGCGCAGAAAAAAATCGACAAAATAAATTTGAAGTTGAGCGATTCTGAAAAGGAAAGAAAAGTGCTGAAAAAGGAGAATGAGGAGGTAGGTTGAGGATGTCATCACTTGAGCACCAGATTTGAAGTGAAATTGCTGTTTTCAGTTGAGAAAGCGTATTGAAGAGTTAGAAGCCAGATTAGCCGCAGCCGAAGAGATTCCAACTAGCCTTGATGCGCTGAAAGGCGATGACAGTGACTGGACGATCAGATCAGAGCATGATGTGTAAGCTTACACACAATCAAAAGTGTTCGTTCATGTTTAAAAATTCAGGATGATCGGTGATTTACAAGACCGTTTGTATACTATCCAAAGGGAAAACGAAGGTCTTAACAAGAAAATAGAAGAGCTCAAGAAGGTAATTGAGGAAAAGGATGCTATCATCAATCAAACAACTCAGAACAAGGTGAGTTGCATCTCATCTCATCGCCAATAAGAATTTTCGCAGTTTTTTTAGGATGGGCATACTTTTGTCATCGGTGGTGGACACGATGCGGAAACTCTCCTGCAGCGCATTGATGATCTCGAGGCTCGATTACATGAGGAACAAGACGAACGAGCCAAGGCAAATACAGCACTTGCTGTAAGCTTCACTGATTTTTTTTCTGCAGTGTGATCTGAGTTTGTTTTAGGCGTATATGTCTCGGTACCATAAGCTAGAGAAGAAGTTACACGAAGCTAACGTATCAATTGACAAGTCTTTGAAGGCGAGCAATAAAGAAGAGGTTAAAGCAACGGTGAGTGTCTAATATCCAGTCCTTTAGCTGTCTGTCTTCTGAATACATATAGTAGTTTTACTGAAACATTTTATTGGAGGGCGGAGGAAGGGATGGAGGGACAGGTCTTTCGTACGAATGAAGGGACATAGCATTAGCAGCGCCCCCTTCTGCAAAATTTCCATTTCTTAGAATCCGTGCGAATCCATGCTCACAATTTTTTTTTTTTTGAAAAAGTGGGGTGATCGCAGTCTTTCAGTTATTTTGACAAGGCTAAGGTTAGTTTGAATTTGAATTTTTGCATCCTGTTCTGAATACTTTCATGTATACCGCAATATAGTTTTCTAAGTCTTGTAGACAACTTCATTGGCTCTAAAGGCGCCGCTGTGGTGGGATAAACGTGGTGTCTAGGCCAATCTAAGTACTTAAGGATTATAATGAGATTGATTGTTAGACACTTTTCCCTTTTTCTGCTAGCCTAGTCCTATTGTGATTATTATTTTGTAGGTCGAACAATTGCGTGATTTGCTTCGTCATCTTGCAACGGATAACAAAAAGCTGCGTGAGGAATGCGCAAGATTGCTAAAAGAACAGTGCAACATAAGCTCTGACTCTACCGATCGTTCTGTTGGAAATGGTAATCATTAGCCTTTATGTTGTGCATTTATTGCATATCGAAATGGCTCCATCTTGCAGAATCTGGTGCCAAGAATACTGTCGCTCAAATTTGCGGAGCTGAAGGAGACTATGAAGAGAAGGTACAATAAATAGATTATTTTGCATCGTTTGCTCATAATCCTTATCTCCGGCAGGTTCATAATCCTTATTTCCGGCAGGTTCCATTCTTTTTTTTCTACATTCAAATCTAACCTGGTGTGAATGTTTCGTGTTTCACTGGAATGTCCTAAAAATTGCTGATCAACAATTTGAAATATTCAGCAGAGACAGCTACTGCGCGATCTTCAGTCGTTCGCCGCAATGAAGAATGGAAACGCAAGCTTGCTGAATATGCTCGAAGGTGATATAACTAACTTTTTTATGGCTGATACTTTTTATAAATGCTCCAGACAATAATAATTTGTACTATTGGCTATGTTGAAAGGCAATGCGCAAGTTTAGTCATAAGTCTCTACTCGAAATCTCTTACAGACGCGTGTCGTGAAGGAGAAATCCACATTACTGATGCCGATTTCGGTTCATCTACGACGGACAGTCCATCTCAGCTGCAAGCTCCTCAGGGCGATTCTGCTGCCATGGACAATTTACCTCTAGTACGATGATTAGCTGTTGTCTCATTTTATGTGCGTAATCCTAAGATTTTCAGCTGAATGCTTCAATCAACGAGCTGATGAATCTGTCGCTCAACACATCAAAAGATATCGCTAACTTCAAGGTAAGTAATTTGTTCAAAACAAAGATTACACAAGCCAATTATTGCAGGAACGTCTTAGCCTATTCCGCGGTGTGATGGAGAGAATTTTCGAAACGCTGAGAAATTCTGGTGTGCTGTTAGAAGAAGTATTGGAGAAGGTGATCCTTCTTGTCATGGGATTTGACAACTAAGCATCTCAGTGTTGTTTTTTGTCTGACATGGAGATTTTATCGACTTCTGGACTTCAGTAGTAGGCCGTTGACTTGAGCAAAGATATTCTTATACCATTGTGTTAAAAGCCAGCGAGAAACTTGCGCATTTTCGTCAGTTCATTAACATCAATTTTCGTACCATCGCAATGACGCTCTTAGTGCGCAGGAGTTCTATATTGCTTTTTTTACATAACTTTTTTCTAGTTTGGCTCTGAATCCGACGAGCATAGAGCACTCGCCGAAAAGATTCGGGAGATGAAGTTTGTGTGGAACACATATTTGAATGAGACGAATGAGATAATGGAAGCAATCGATGGTATGTGGTAAAATTAAAATGTTGTGTAATCATCGGTTTCGCTTACAGATACACAGTTCAATCTCAACGAAGTTGAAACAAAGATGATAGCTTTCGAAAAGTCCATCCATGAAGCCTCCTTCCGAATGGACATGTCTGTGGTTCACACAACCTCTCATTATTTCACGCAATCGGATGTCTATAACAGATCGCACAGAGGTAACACTGAAATCTGTTACTGGACTTTTCACACAATATTTGCCGCAGGACGCATTGCTGGTGATGAGGATGCTAACGTTGCTCAAGTCGCTTCGCAGAAAGAGGAAATTGCTAACTTGCAATCGCTGCTCAAGGAAGTAAGAAATTCATTTTTGAAGGAGGTAAAGGCAATTATATCTTCTTTTAGGTTGAAGCTGCCCGTGACAGTGCCGTGTGCACTCTGGAAGATGTTCGCTCCAAACTGAACAAGCTCGAAAACGAGGTTGCCCAGATATCTGAAGAGCGCGAGAATCTGAAGGTCGCTGAAAAGGCGATAAGCACTGAGAGAGACCAGTTGCAAGCGAAACTCCAGGTCAGTACTTTATGTCCTTATGTTTTCTTTGGTTTTATTATATCTATCGTATCAAGTTGGACTGTCTCATAAATCTCCTATTTTTGTCAGTTTTATATTGTATGTCCTGTTTAGGAGCAAGTGAATGCTTTCCAACAGTTAGAAGATAACCATTCTGAATTGCAAAGCAGCGCTGAAGAGTTACTACGAGAAGTTGCAGACAAGGATGCTAACATGATAGAAATGGAAGCAAGATTGTTAAATCTGAAGCAGGAGGTCATAGCGATATTCATTGAAGTTTACCTTATAACCAAGTTTCTTTGATCAGTAGTAGCATACCTAGTGATTGCTTTCCAACAGTTAGAAGATACTTTCTTTCGAAGGCATTGCCCAGGTCAACTAAGGGACTAAGGGGTAGTAAGGTTTTGACGCGGTGCAGGAGCACGGCTCCTTACTAATGCAACAGTTCAAGTCCGATTGAAAAACTTGGATTCTGAAATGAAGCGAGAAAATCGCTCCGGAAAAAAGGGGCGGTCAGCTGATCCCGCCTCCTTGACAAGTTTTGACGTGGCGAATGCTGTATACAGTAGTCGCCACGTCAAAACACATCATCAATAGATCTAATGTAATAACCACGTCAAAACTCGTCAAGTGAGCGGGGTTAGCGGATCGCCCTTTTTTTCGGAGCGATTTTCTCGCTTCAGAATCCACCGTTTTCGATCAAATTGAACTGTTGCATCAGTCAGGAGCTGTGCTCCTGCACTGCGTCAAAACCCCACCACCCGCAATTGACCTGGACAATACCTTTCAGCACTCCTCATTCGTGATTTGCAGAACGAGAGACTGAAGCAGCTGGCTGTAAGGTATGAAGAAAATGTAAACAGTCTGCATGAAGCTCTTGAACAAGAGCATGAACGCAAAAGCGAAGAAAACAACGCTTTAAGAGCGGAGTTGGCTACGGCACAGGTTAGTTCGCGATTTCTGATAGATGTTCAGTGAAGCAGTGGCTTGCACTTTTCATTTTCAGAAAACATCGCAATCTTTGCGTCAAGATATCGATAAATTCTGCCAAGAATACAATACAAAAGAAGCAACTATACGCCAGTTACGGGAACAATATGAGACAGCTCTTGAGAATGTGAGCTTTGATCATGTGTGATTTTCGCAACTGCATTTTCTTTGTAGAATGCTCACATGGCTCAAATTGTTGCGGAGCTAGAACAGGCTGCGAGGGAGAAGCAAAGGCCTACGAGAAAGACCAGTGAAGATAGCGTCACGACAGTAGTGGTGCAGCCAGGGACACCCAGAGCTGAGGTAAATTTGAAATCTCGTGAGCTAATCAATCTTCATTGCAAAGACGTCCGCTTCACTGACAGTGACTAGTCTCGTTGATAGCTGCTATAGCTAGAAATTTTCGTCCTCAAGATTGTGTAGAAGCTCCGTTTTCATTTTTTCAAATTTTTGTCTAGACAGTATCTCATTGTCACTGAATTTTCCTTATCCTATAAGCAGTATAGTGTCAGATGTGCAAAACATCTTTTCAGCTGAGGACACAGGATTCTCAAACGGATATGACGAGAACTGCTTTGGCTCAGATTGAATTTGATTCCGTCTCCTACGCTTCTGAAGTAAAGGCTTTCCGCTCAGCTTACATGGAATTGGCAACAGCTATCGGCGAACTAGTGGTTAAGGATATCAACAATCTACCAAACCCTGGGTAAGCTTCTTGGAGCTACTAGCTGCTTAGCTACTTTCATGGATGTACGCAGTTCTCTCATAATACCCCTTTTATTGCAGAGATTTGAATTCCATCGAGAAAAGTTGCAAAGAGTTGTCAAGATTCATCCGTCATGAAAAGCGTAGACGAGATCAGCAGGCTGTTGAAATAGCTGAGGTCACTGAGAAAGTTAGAGATCTTCAACGCAGAGAGTGAGTTTTTTTTGCTGCCCTTATGATTTACAAAAGGAAAATATTTTTCAGAGCATCTGGTGATACGGCTCTGCGGGATGTATCGCAAGTAATGCCTGCTGAACAAGCTAAATCCGCAAGTGCTAGTGCCCAGAAAAGTGAGTTATATGCCCTGAACCAAAATGGCTTCTTAAAGGCAGTGTCCGGGCAAAAACTCGATTTTGAGGTTTTGTGTTTACTCGGGCCTATTTTCGCTACGCTGAATCCGAAAATGCACATTGGACGGCGCGAGAACGGCGAAAAACGGCTCTAAAACAGGAGGGAAATCAGCGGGTGGGCGGGGTCCTCCCCACTAATTCACGCTCCCAGCTTCCGCACCAATCTTCTCACTTTCGGTTTCAAGTCAGTCATTCGCACTTGGCCGGTAGCGATGTTGGGACGGCCGGCGGAATCGGGAAGACCGCTTCGGACGCTGGGAGCGTGAAATCACAGTGGGGAGGACTCCGCCCACTTGCTGTTTCCCTCCTGCGCTAGAGCCCTTTTTTGCAGTTTTCGTGCTTTTCAATGTGGATTTTCGGACTCAGCATGGCGAATAGGCCCGTATAAGCACGAAATCTCGAAATCGAGTTTTCGCCCGGACACTGCCTTTGAGTTGTTTCACCCTTCTGCTCTGATTTTCAGAATACGAAGACCCTATGCGTCAAACTCTATATGTTTTGACGAGAATGGCGATGGAATTGGTTACAGAATTACGTCAGTTATCTCGACGCAGTGCTTGTGGAGAAAAGGTTTAATTCAGTTTCTTTTCTTTTCAGGATTTTTGGAGCTTTCCCAGCTGCTTCTGCAGGGAGTTTTTGAGAGAGAAAATTATTTGGAAATTGATTTTTTTCGAATGATCATCTTTCAGATTCGTTTTCAATAAAGTAGGGCTTTCACTTTAAGGTGGACTTCACCAATACCATCAATCAAGCTAGAGAGCTTCGTAACGAACTAAATGATCGTTTCATGATTGTTCGAGCTGACAAGGAGAATATTAACAGTTACCATGTACCTGATCTTATCAATACAGTGAGCATTATTTTTGCTGCCGTACTTCGCATACTATTGGTATCTATAGGTGGAGCTGCTCTCGAAAGATAATCGTACTTTGTATGAGAGTCTGAAGCGGTGCAAAGCCGAATACGAAGCGCTCGAGAAACAAAGCGTAAGTGATTAGATAGAAGTGTCGATGCTCTACTTGGCTACGAGCCCATGCTGAAAATCTTATTTTAGGCTAACAATCCCGAGCTAGTGGAAAAGATCGCTGCACAGTTGCAAAACATCCACACTGCCATGGTTGAGTCAAAGCGTGCGTGTGAACTACTTCAAACTGCCAAGACATCTTCGCGTCCGAAACAAGCAACATCCTCCAAGTAACTTGTATTTGTTGACGCCACTTAATCGTTTCACTTTACCGACTTACATTCAATCCGATGATCTTACTATCAATACTTACTGGTGTATGAATTAGTGATCTTTATTCATGATCTAATAGTTTCTCGTGCAAATTGTTTTATGATGTTCTCAGTGGAACACCTGATACCTTTGATAAATGAAGTTTCTTTATGGTATCACTGATTTATGGGAAAGGGCTTGCCCTTTGATACCTAGTTATGAGTAAAGTTTTTGCAAAAAATAAAACCGTGCAACAGGCACACGCATGACTGACGAGTTCTGCCCGACACAATATGATAATGCGACAACATCATCACGGGACTCGATGAGCGTATGTATGGGTGGGAGAATTCAAGACAGTTCAGACGAGGTTTGGTTTTACCATTTCCTTATTCTATTTTTGTACCCCTGTCAAACATCGTTGTCGACTTATGGATGTTTTGAGTTTTGATTCATGCTACAAAGTCTATAAACGCTTGCATTCTGTCTCAAATGTAATGCTTTTTTTTGGTGTCGAGTTTCGATCGGTGGGATCGATTTAATTGCTCAAACCAACTGTTCGCGGCCTTACCAAGCACTCGGGATTTGGAAGTGTCAGTTGAAGTGGGATAGTGCAATTGAGAAAGACAGTAAAGGCGACCGTTGCTGCGTGTTCCACATTTTCTCTGTGCTTATGCTCTACCTTGACCTTTGAGCCTTTTCCTTTTGCGGGACTCGAGTCAACTCGCTTTTCTACAAGTATAAGCGAAGTTTCCCCGCGAGAACGCTTACAGAGCAGATTTTCGATAAGATTTCGGAAAGTCTGTGAAATGAAGTCACCGAAAAGCTTCCTCTTGCTGGATGGTCCCATCAATGAGACCCACTCACTCGTATATCGCGGGCTTAAGATCCACGACTCGCTTAATTTTATAATGTGTCTATCATAGGATCGGTTTTCAAGCTACGTTTATAGTGTCGTATACTACCGTCTAGAGTAGACGTAATTTTTATTTGAAAATTTCGAAATGTTGGCGGCGTTTTTCTTATTTACCAAATATTCTCAGTCCTATCTCCCTTCAATTTCTACCCATCAAATGTAACGCCCTCATTAAAATTAGTTTTATCCTCCTTCAAACAGAGTATTATAGTCTGTGGATGAAAGTGATCTGCAGTACGCTGTCGCTATGCATAGTACTGTAGCGCGCACAACTGTCAGCGGACTAGAATTACTCATGCTATATTTAGAAGCTGAAATACACAGAGCGGTAAGTCGCACTGTTGGTCGGCTTAAACACAATGAAGAATGCCTTTTTTTTAGCGCGCACGAATTCGAGAATATGGCATCAGAATTCGTCGTTTCTTCCGCGAAGGCATACATATCGACTATCGCGGGATTGCACGACGGTTCGTCAATCTCAGCGAAATGTGAGAATTGTTTTGGTCATTTATGTGGAAAATATAATGTAGAATGCAAGTATCATTCAAGGCGAGTGCCTGCCGATCAGCTTTCCGATCTCGACGAAGACGAAGCTATGATATTTAATGCTGTAAGTGTGTTCATCAAAAATTTCAAGCTTATCAAACTTGTTGAGGTGCCGCTGAGGTCGCGTTGGAAACCGCCAAAATATACTTTCAATGATATCGCGATTGTACTTACTACTGACGAAGAGGTGGAAGAAGGTCAGCATTTTTGAAGATAATCTTTACTCGTTTTGGTGCAGCGAAATTCGTTTTTCTTCTTAAAGGCACCGTCCACCCAAAATCTCGAATTCAATGTTTTTGTCGCCTTCGGGCCTTCTGAAGGCCCTGATTCCGGATCTTGGGGGTTTGCCTAGTGTGGGGACCCCTGCACTAGTATGCCATCATAATCTCGCCAAGCTCCATTTTGGGTGGACGGTGCCATTAAAATGTAGTGGAGAATGGTGATTAATTATTTGTTGAGGTTATTAGTATGTGGAACTTCTTTTTCAGGAGTCGTTCATGCGTATACAATACGATCACCTGCGTGGTCTTGCTTACCTCCTCCCTTAGCGCCTTGCAAACGCGACAGTGAAGTAGGAGATTTCCAGGTAAGTCCAATGTGTAGGTCATTTGAGTCCTTTACAGAGTGTACGCTTCCATTTAGTTTCTAAATCGACCCCTCAAAATGAGCATTGCGGACGATGACGATGAACGACTGTCCTTGCCTAGCACGATGGTCACCGACCAGGATTTGAAAGTAGGTTTGACATTTAGGAGTTCGGGTTACTAGTGTCTCATTTAGATCCAATCGTTGGAAGCTCAGTTGGCTATGTTGTCGAGGCAGATGCAGTCACTTCTGAGTGGAAAGCCTCCTGCTGCTCGTCCCCAAGACATCTCCCCGGCTCTTTCAGACGATGAGGGGAAGGGAACATCATTGTGCAGTCCTGATGACACCGTAAAGGTATGGAATATCCTTGCTTTAATTGCTTAGGTCACATAATCTCCTTATAGGTGCTAGTTCCACCAGAACATCAGCAAATGCCTGCACTTCCTAAGATTTGCCCGCCTAGTGGGCCACCTCCTCCTCCGCCGCCTCCACCATCACTATTGTCGACTAGAAGTGTATCGGCTCCAGCAATACCAAGTCCTGCTAAGGTAGGGGTCTGACTCGTTGTGATATCTTTGGAGGCACTAATAATCATTTATATAGCGCACTGTGTTGCAAATGTTGAATAAGTCTGCACAAGGTGACAACGAAGCTTTGCCAGTACGGCCAAGTGTGTTCGACTTATCGAATGTTCAACTGAAGAAAACTAACACAGCAAGGTAAGAATTTTCAATGGTTCCTCTTCAGCACCTGATTCTTTGCTTTTCCTTTGCCTGTTGTTTTTCTTGCGATAACTAAGTCGTGCTTGGCTACATTACATTGCTGCTGGAGAGAGGGCCGAGGAGAAGCCTACCTTTCGACTGTTTCTGGTTGAATATACAGAAACCCAAAACGACAATCTCTCTATAATAAAGCGCACGGTGTCTCTCTGAAACATTCCCCCCTCCCCCCTCGTGAGACGTCAACAGGTTTGTCGTTGCGTGCCGTTGCAGGCGTACAGGGTTGATGACTCATCACCTGCGCCACCTAAGGGTAAACAGTCTGGAAAGTTGCCCTTTTGATCGAAGATGAGGTTTTCAATAAGTTGCGACCTCGCGTGATGTTTCCCATCGATGTTTGAGAAGTATGCGCACCAAACCATTGACGACTGGCTTAGCTTACCCTAAGTTCAGTTTGTCGTCATCCGTGAGGCGTCGCATATGAGCTTTCACAAAACATCCATATGCGCAAAGCACTATGTTTTCCAGAACTTAGTGCGAGAAACTGGGAAAAACATACTGCTCAACCCGCAACCACAGATGGGTATTATACGAGCTCTGCATTTGCGAGAACATTTTGCAGCTTTTCAGTGGATTTTGCACAAACTTGGAAAATTTATGAAAATCGTTCAGACTTCATGAGAACTCTGAGTGATGAATAGAGCAGCTCTAGCTTTCGGACCAGTTCTAGCAATAATCACGGCCCACATTTCGCACAATCACATACAGTTTCTCCCAATGGGGATCAGGCCCAACCGTTGGCTAAATTTACGGCTGGCAGTGCTCGGGGGTAGCGCTGCACTGCATATGCGCTCTTTGAGGGAGCGCAGATGAGGGGAGAGACAAGCTAGAGTAGACGTAACGCAATACCTTCATGACACGGACTCCCTCCCGATCTCGGACTAATTAAAACTGAGACAGACTTTATGATATGACGAACTCGAGTTTAGTCGAAAACGAAATTTTGACCAAGTCATATGCAAAAAAAAAGACTGCAAGTTTCAAAAAATTCTTCAAAAGCGGACTTGGTCCACTGAATAATTATTAAATGCTGAGACCACAGCTCCGTCTTCTATCATGCTCCAAAAAAGCCAGGAATTCGTGAGTTGATCGGATTTCGCATAACTTCTCTCAAAAAACAGATACGTTCTCTTTTACGTAGGACAACTAAGTTTTTGCGAGTACAAACTTTTTGGGACATCCAAAGTGCCGCTTCGCGGCACTTTGGTCTGGTAAGGAATAAACAAACATTGGAGACTTGAGATTACGATAAGGCGCTTCTGTTCATGTTCAGACCAGGGCTCGGCGGGTGGCTTTCCGAAAATGCAGAAAACGAAGTCCCCTTTGACTTTTCCAAAATTTTACGAAGTTACTTTTGTTCCTAAGCCATAATTTTGAAAATTTAAAAAAAAAAACGAAACGTCAAAAAAAAACGTCGCAAATTTCTGCCTTTTCGGCCACATAAACGAATCCCCTTTTGCTTTTTGTCCCAAAAACGATATCCAGCTTGCTCATAAGCCAATTGTACCGAGCCCTGGTTTAGACTGCAGGTTGAGCTATTTAAGGAGATGAATAGGCAAAAGAAATTCCGAACTAGAGTATTGAGGTCTAGATCACCTCCTCAACTTCCTGTTCCTCAGTGCCCAATAGTGAGGAATTTTTAGAGTTGTCTATTCTAAGTTGTATTTTTTGACACACAACAACACATATGCTCCTCCAAGCTCTGACTATATTTCTGGAACCATTCTGTTCTAGGTCACCCGGTGGAACACCCGTAGTGCGAAAAGTGCGAGCTCAAGCCGGTGCAGATGAGGTTACTCTTGTATATCTAAAAATATCCTCCAGTTTCTTGGTCAAAACTCGTGTGTATGTTTCAGGGTAATTACCTGGCGAATGCACTTCGTGAGAAATTTCGATCTGTACAAGAGACGCTTTCGGAGCATGAAGACGATGTGAATAACTCGAGCTGGTTGGATGATGAAGCCGATTTTTAGTTATTTGTGGTACTATCTATAGATCTGATATTTTAACTATTTCTGTAGAAGGGAATACTTCTGTATGCTGAGGCGGCTTGTTGTGATCTTTGACTGTTCTTTGATGGTGCTACTTACGCTTCTTTGCTTCATTTACAAAGTATATCATTGGCCCAGAGCTTACTGCCTTAGACTTTCTTCTCTGATCTTTCGAAGCATTATTTTAATAAATATATACGGGATTATGCGTTTGTATATATCGTGACAATCGCCATTCCTCAGATTGTGTTCATCCGTGATTGAAGTATTAGATAATTTCGCGTTTTCTAACGATTATTAATTAAATAAATTATGTTAGTACTAAACATTTTGACTTGGTTATATCTTATTTCACGAAAGCATAATGAAAAATGGACTTGCCCATTCCATCGCACTCATTTGCGATGAGAACTGATTGGAAACTGTCTCGTCGGCATTATTTGAAAATTCGTTTCATTACATACTTAAGAGTTAGTGGCGAAATGATATTTAGTTACTCGATTCTATCGCCTTAGCAACAGGGTAAGTTGGCAACCCACCCTTTGGGAATGTAGTTGTTCTTGTCGAGATGCAGACTGATTATTCTGCCTCTCGACATTCTAATCTGATTTTTTTTATGAGAATTGCTTAGTGTTCCTCAGAGTATACGCAACTATGAGTTTTCCTCAATTATGGCTCTACAACATTTGAAAATTACAGAAAAGCTCAAGTATGCCCATACTTCATATCAAAATCCTTGTTTTTGATTACCAAATTCTTATCTATTATTTATAAAAGAAAAATAATAATGTCTAACACACATACTATTTTTGATACTGAATGAAAGAATATGGGATAGGTTCAAATCAGCTAGCCGAAGTTTTACAACTTCTTTGTCGCTATTTCTGTTCTTAATTTATAATCAGCCTCAACACGTTGACGAACGTGACTACTGCATAGAAGTTACCTTGAAACTTTTCGTTTACACTTGAAAAACTGGCGTGCATACGTGCCTATGCATGAACTTGCTAAACGGGAGTAAGGGCGTGCATACGTGCGCTTGCATGAAAATGCTAAATAGATTAAGGGCGTGCATATGCGCATATGCACACGGTCATCAATGTGCTAAACATGAATGGATGAGGGTTGCTCACAAATTTTTTGAGAGGAACCACAAAATCTACATTTTGTGTGGGTACTCGATCCACCCCTAATTTCTCAAGTTCAAACTGTTGTATAGACCTCGACACGATACCCAATTGACATCGTGCGTCAAAAATGCGTACTTGATGTAAAGGCGGTGTACACTACTTACCTCAACCTGTAATTAATATTTTTTCAACTTGTACTTCCTCCCCATCTCTCTGGAGTTGGGAAAATGACTGAAGAAAGTATTGGTAAAACTGATTGATTTTAATTATCACTACTCGTGCTGAAACCTTATATCGTGAGGGTTATTTATCATGCTGATTCCAAAAATGGTACTCATTTTGCTTGATAGCCGTTCATCGATTCCCCATAGCTAAGTTTGGAGTTATTTGATATGCCAAGTGGAAGTGCAGGTCAGAGGTAAGGAGGCTGTCTCTCCAGATTACTCACGTGATTACCGATGTTTCTAGATTGCCTATTCCAATTACTTTTATCACTTCTGACATTCACTGGGCTTTCGATGCTATCGTAGGTTCGAGCGCGTAAGAGGTAATGTATGATGTTTGGTAAATTTTTTTTTCAAACTAATCTATCAAATTGAAGGTATTTTTATGACTTGGAAACTCGGAAGAGCAAGTTCTACCATTGTTTAGACATTATGTGCACAGCAGTCTCGAGTCTCCCATTCATAGAATAGATGATATGCGAAATGAGTATCATCTTTTAACTTGTGCAAAACAAACTAAACAGAATCTAAGCGATTCTGTTCAGTAACGGGCAGCTGCTGCAGCTAAAATAAACGACTATCGAGCAAAATGAGTACCATTTTCGGAATCAGCATGATAAATAACCCCCATGATTTAAGATTTCAGTACGAGTAGTGATATTTAAAATCAGTCAGTTTTACCAATACTTTCTTCAGTCATTTTCCCAACTCCAGAGAGATGGGGAGGAAGTACAAGTTGAAAAAATATTAATTACAGGTTGAGGTAAGTAGTGTACGCTGTATTTACATCAAGTACGCATTTTTGACGCACGATGTCAATTGGGTATCGTGTCGAGGTCTATACGACAGTCAAGTTCAATTACCAAAGAAAGTATGCTCTATAGTTCTGTGGCGTTTGTTCTTCATTTCGCAACTCGGCAGCTGTCTCGTTCCTTCGCGGGTGTGCAGCTTCCTGTAGAGTTTTTCTATACACGCTTTTTTCGCTTCTTTGACACTCCTCTTTGCTGCATGTTTCGCGCCTATGTACGTATACTTGGTGGACATCTTGTGTTCGTAACTTGTGCCTGTCCTGTACGATGTCCTCTTCTTTGTCACAACCTGTATGTCTCCATTCCACCGCCAGATTTCCTTATCGAATTCTGGTCTTTCGTGTTGGTGTAACCCACTGGCTCGTTGAGTATCTGATGAATCTTCTTGCGAGAAGAAGGGAGGAAGATTGCGCCGCTAGATTGACCATGTGTGTGGAAGTCCTGGAAAAAGTCTCGGAGTAAGACCGAAATAAGATGGATGAACAAACAGATCAACGGAGGCTTACAAGAACCCAAGTAAATGAGAGCCAAGCTGAAGATTACGAAAAATGAAGGAAACTCACAAGAGTAGAAGAGTAGTGACCATGATGATTTGTTGATTCTTACTGTGTTCTGTATGATCTATGCTTATTTCATTGTTTTTCATGTAGAACGCCCAGATGTTTATATTGAAAGGAAATTGAAATGAAGAGCAGTGAACATGACGCAGAATAACATGTGAGAACTGTAGGACACTTCGGTACTTCCTCTATTACATTTGCGCGCGAGTTCCAAAAGAAAGAGAGTCGATTAACGAAATATTTCAGAGCACGAACAAGATTACAGAAACATACTATAGAAAGAGATTAGTCATATTACGAAAAAAAGGATCGAAACGACTGGTCAAGCAAAGATCCAGCCATCCGTCGTTAGCAAAGAGGCTATGATATTTATACAAGAAAATATTATATTTGATTCTCTCAACTACAAAGAGTAATAGAAAGATGTTGGTAAAGACACTATATTGAAATTACAGAAAACTGAGAAGAGAATGACGCATTGACGATTAACAAGGACACATATACTTTTGTCGATGACATGTTCTGCAGCTTGCAGGATAACAATAGCAGTTGGCGAGCTTGAAACAATACTACGTAAAAATTTGGTTGGCTATTATTCAAGTACAATCGCCATATGTTACTGCTTCCCCATACTTATCAGTCCAAGAGTTATTGTCATTATTACAGAACGATTGATTTGTGACTGATGCGATAAAGTTTAGGCAACTGAAATTCTGTGCCCTAACTGCTCTAATTTCCTAAGAAAGGTTGACAGGTTTCTAAAGTTGACACATAAATCTTGTACTAGCTTCAAAACAAGTCAATAAACATTCCCAATAGGTTATATACCTTTCCCACATTCGCTAGAGCTAATGCAAGCTGAACAAGATGGCGTTCAAGCTTTTGCATCGACCTCGTTTCACCCGAAGTTTGAATGCAAAAATAATAACATGCAATGCCGAATCTAAACAAAACTGGAACTCCGTTCAAAAAATGCGGGAATATTATTCGCTCAAACATATACATCTTTCATGGAAAATCACATAGGCAGCTGTCGTAACTGGAATCCAACAAAAGTTTTTTAGGTCTACCGAAGTAAAGTAATTCTGAGCTGCCACGACAGTGATTATTGTAATATAATAATGTTTTACCCCTGTTAGAAATTACTTATGAGAGGCTTTGAATCAGTAACGACACTGTCAGGCTTACTTATATGGGCATTCTCCCCAACTCATAGAAACAACTTTCTTTTACTAAGGTTTATTAACAAGAAGAGCATTATAGGACAGGAGTACTACGAGACAGGAGTACTATAAGAGGAGTATTATAAGACTAGGGTAATGTAAAGCACAAAGGGTGCAGAACTGAATACAAAGAAGAGATTAGGATATCAATAGGAACCATGCTATATCAATAGAAACTAGAGGGTTCAGAGAATTTATGGGGAGGAAAGAGGGTAATAGATGAAGCGAGCACATATAAGATAGGTGTGTAAATGAGTGGTCGATTATCTCCTATTGCCAAGGCCAGCTGAGCCGGCCGGAGCCGGCTAGCTCGGTGTCTCCTTTGAATCCAGTAACGCGAGTTCGAATCTCGCCGGAACCTCCATGTAATATAATAATGTTTTACCCCTGTTAGAAATTACTTATGAGAGGCTTTGAATCAGTAACGACACTGTCAGGCTTACTTATATGGGCATTCTCCCCAACTCATAGAAACAACTTTCTTTTACTAAGGTTTATTAAAGGCAGCGGGCAGGCAAAATGGACCCCTGTCAGATTTTGGTAGTTTCCGGTAGTGGACCACCCAAGTACACCGTAGCCCCAACCCCACATTCCGATACATGCGCTAAGTCCTGAAAAAAGCGCTGCAAAACTCCACCAGCCCCGCCCATTTCCATTGACTGGGCGTTATTGGTGGAAGTTTGAAGCGCTTTTTTCAGGACTTAGCGCATGAATTGGAATGTGGGGTTGGGGCTACGGTGTACTTGGGTGGTCCACTACCCGAAACTACCAAAATCTGACAGGGGTCCATTTTGCCTGTCCACTGCCTTTAACAAGAAGAGCATTATAGGACAGGAGTACTACGAGACAGGAGTACTATAAGAGGAGTATTATAAGACTAGGGTAATGTAAAGCACAAAGGGTGCAGAACTGAATACAAAGAAGAGATTAGGATATGAATAGGAACCATGCTATATCAATAGAAACTAGAGGGTACAGAGAATTTATGGGGAGGAAAGAGGGTAATAGATGAAGCGAGCACATATAAGATAGGTGTGTAAATGAGTGGTCGATTATCTCCTATTGCCAAGGCCAGCTGAGCCGGCCGGAGCCGGCTAGCTCGGTGTCTCTCTCTCTCTCTCTGAGGGCGGGGTTTAGTTGCTTATATAGTTGGCGAGGGGCGGGGCAAGAGTGCAGGGACCAATAGCGCATTACCGTTATTAGCGCTTTTCCTACATTATGTACATTAAAGGCAGTCGATCGGCAAAATCCAACAACTCGGGATTTCAACGCGGTAGGTTCCTTATCGCCCAAGTATGAAAACAGTGCAATCCCGGTCGCACAGCATGCTTTCCCTGCCGAAAAAATCGCTCTCAAACTTACACGCGCAGGCCAATCTTACACGCAT